AAGTATATATGGGAGCTATATCTAAATCTGAACCGATTTTTCCTAATTTCAATAGGGTTCGTCCTTGGACCAAATAAGTGAGCTGTGCCAAATTTCATTCGATTCGATTCATAAATGTGACTTGTACGTTGTTTACAATTTAACATGGACAGACGGACGGATGGACATGCATAAGTGATTCTATGCATATTCTCAAAAGGAACCATCTGTATATCTCATTTCCTCTTGCCTGTTACAAACATCTGCACAAAGACATAATACCTTGTGCCGCAGTGTGGTGAAGGTTATAAATTACATGGATCGATTTTCAATCTGCGAAGCCTTTACTAAAACGGAATGAGATAAACCCATTTCTTTAACGGATGGTGACTAAAGATGAGAAATGGAATGGTGGTCATAGAGCGCTGAAACACCTCAAACGATGGCCAAACCAGGCCAAACGGCCAGGAAAGTTCTGCTATGCATTTGATGGGACTGCAAGGCGATTGTTTATTATGAGTTGATTCCATATGCCAAACGCTACTACTGTCAACAACAACTGGACCGTTTGAAGATAGCAATTGACCAGAAACGGCCAGAATTGGCCAACAGGAGAGGAGGTGTCGTGTTTTACTAGGACAATGCTATGCCACACGCATCTACAGTGACTCGCCAGAAACTTCGAGAGCTTGGTTGGGAAGTTTTAATGCATCCGTCATGCAGTTCGGACTTGGCACCAAGCGATTATCATATTTTTCTTGCATTGCAAAATTTCTTTAATGATAAAAAATTGGTATCTAGGGAGGATTGTGAAAATCGACTACTAGAGTTTTTTCAAATAGAGAGCAGGACTTCTATGAGAGAGGCATCATGAAGTTACCTTTAAAAAATTAAAAAAATTTTCAGGGGAATATTTAACTTCTGTTGGTCTTTTATAAACAAAACCCCTGTAAAGGGTCTTCCACAGACGTCCTGAAAATTAAGTATTAAGTGGAGGTATAAGATCTTCTAAACTTCTTTTAAAAGCTGGAGAATTCTAGAATGTGTTAGATAGCCAGAAAGTCCACTGTATGTCTCGATCGTGTTCCCTACGTAAAAGGGAGGATCCCATCTTTATAAACGATATTTCCTTAAGCCCTTAGTCGTTATAACCGCCCATTGTGCATCGAAATCTCTCAAAGAAATGTTAAGTGATTCAAACGGCATATCTTTGTGACCTGTCTGACAACAGCCTAACTTCATGGCAGGGGGAAGACAACAATAAAAAAAGGAAAAAAACTTCACAGCAGATGCTCCCCATTGGCAACAACAACAACAATATCAACCACAACAACAACCACAGTTTAACCTTTTTTGTCAACATAACACTTAACCTTTATATTTGAGCCAGGTTGATACCAGTTTGTGTGTCTTGTTTTTCCTTCGAATCTTTCTTTGTGGGCTGACATTAAGGAAGTGTTTTGGAGGAAAGAAAAAAAAACTGAAAAAACAAAACCTCCAAAATATTTCATAGAAAGGCTCATCTTCAGGGCAACAATGGCATAACAACGACGACGACGACATTTTGACGGTGTCAAACAAACAATTTCAAATGGTTCATAACTGTAAAAATTTATGGCGAATTGTTAGGCGGCAAAACACGAAGTTATGAAAAAAAAGTTAAAAAAAAATTGGGAGGAGGAAGAAGGAAGAAGATATGCCAGATATGCAATTCGAGGAGGGCTTTTGTTTATCAAGTTAAAATATGAGTTTTTGATGGAGATTCCTGCAAAGTTCGACCTCTAGGGTTAAATTAGGTGTCTTCTTGCATTGATTTTTATTCAAAAGTGGCATTTGGAAATAGAAGAAAATGGAAAGGGCGTTCATTAATATTTTAAGAGCAAATGCTTTATTATTTTGTGGAATTTCTTCATAGAAGGACGAAAAGAGTCATATCTATAATTCTTCTATAAATGTAGGGCCTGAGGACCAAAACCTTTCGCAAGCCTACCACTAAAAATTCTTCCTCAGACATAATACCTTTGAAGGTATTTTGTAGATGAAATAATTCTTAAAAAGTCTTCTATGAATGTTGAACATCCAGAGGATTTCCTAAATGAATTTTATAAACCGAACAGAACATATAAAATGATTAGCTGCTCTGAAATATCATCCTTTTCTTATGACCGATAACCTGCTTTTAAATTAAAAAAATTAATTTAGTTCACATTATGGGTGGAGTCCATCTAATTATCGTCTTTGATCATCTCCTGCATCACTTATCGTAATCTTTTAATCAATTTATAACTCCACAAAATTAAAATGTCATCACCAGCAGCATGGCCCTCAACTGAAACAAAAAAAATATGTTAATTCTCACATCGCATCGCATCAGAAACCGAAGCATCATCAGCAGTTTGATTGATTTAAGGTTCGACTTGAACATTTTTATTTCATTTATCTTTTGCCGAACGTAGATGCATTGAGAACCAACATTAGTTCCCATAACTTTGCAAATAATAATGTTTTATTAATTTTTCGAATTAGATTTCAGTGATAGTTAAGTGAACCTAGTTTCCGAATACCATTTTTTGACTTTGATGACTTGCAAATTGATTTTTAATTATGACGAAAAAAATATGTTAATGTTATGACGGGTTCGAACTTTTCATTTACTCCATCTAAAAATCGATCGAAATCTATACGACGGCTATTGCCAAGATAAATTGATTCCAAGAGAAAAAAAAATGGAAAACTACAGACAATCAGGTTCGAATTGAGATAGAACATACCGAAGGGGTTGGAAACGTGCCCAAAAAAATTCTACACCTTTGGAGGTCCTTGAAAAAATATTCTTTAAGTAATCCAAGCCTTTGCCGTCATTGGAAAAAAAAAAACAGTGAGCGGAGCCGTATAGTCGGACAGGGCCGACCATACGATACCCTACACAACTACCACAGAACTCTATATTTCTGCGGATTTTTATTCCGAGCCTGGGTAATATTTCGTGATAGTTGCACCCTCATGTCCGATAGTTGACCTCTAATCACCTCCTCCTTACACTGACATATTTTCCGAATATTACCAATATTCAGTACAGCCCTTCTAATTACTTGTCCAGATTCCCTTCACAGTGGGTTTTGTTGTGATGTTCGGCTTGTAATTCTAGCCTAGATCAAATTGCAAAAAAAAAAACACAAAAAATAAGTTTTCGGTCCACATCATCCCAAAATTATTATCTGATCATCACTGAAAATTATAGGCGTTGTCCTTGACCATAACTGGAACCTCATGAAACATTTCAAAGCGATCAGCGCTATATTTTCGCCCTCTAGTGTGGTAATGGTTTATTAAATAATATCTGAATACGTAAGCATCTGTAAATATCTACGTGTAACTCCCACATCCGAGTACATACGACAATATAATTGGTATCAATTTAAAGGTCAACCGCTCCTCTTGGATATACTATGAACTTCTCGGCTCTATGTCCTTTAGGAATAAATATATACGCCATGGAATACAAATTTTGTCATTTCTCACACAAAAACGACAAAATTGACCGATCTTTATCAAAACAGTCATGCTTATTCTTTGACCCGATCCCGTTCTCCATGTAAAAAATCGTAACGTTTGGCCCATAATTGCCATTTCATCCCCTAAATATTAACCGATCTTTACCAAAAACAATAGGGGTCTTCATTGGCCAGAACCCATCCTACAAGCAAAATTTCGTGAAGAGTGATCCAAAACTGTGGTCTGTATCGTGTTTACAAATCATAATGGACAGACACATATGTCTAGATCGACTCAGTTAGGCGAGATATGACGATCGGTATACTTAAAGGTGGGTCTAGGACCAATATTTCGCGGCGTTACAAACTCTTGGGGCTGCACAAAGCTATAACACTCTGACAACATAATTGTGTCAGGATGTCAGGTAATCAAAGCCTTTGTTAGTCCTTGTTTAGAACTCTTAGAGCTATTCTAGGCCTTAAATATTCTATAAAAAATCCACGCCTTCTGGTTGGGCCTTGAAAAAATATTCTTTAAAAAATCCACGCCTTCTGATTGGGCATTGAAAAAATATTCTTTAAAAAATTCCCGCATTCTGTTGGGCCTTAAAAAAATATTCTTTAAAAAATCCCCGCCTTCTGTTGGGCCTTAAAAAAATATTCTTTAAAAAATCCACGCCTCCGATAGCCCTTGAAAAAATATTCTTTAAAAAATCCACGCCTCCGATAGCCCTTGAAAAAATATTCTTTAAAAAATCCACGCCTCCGATAGCCCTTGAAAAAATATTCTTTAAAAAATCCACGCCTCCGATAGCCCTTGAAAAAATATTCTTAAAAAAATACACGCCTTCTTTTAGGCCTTGAAGAAATATTCTTTAAAAAATCCACGTCTTCTTTTAGGCCTTGAAGAAATATTCTTTAAAAAATCCACGCCTTCTGGTTGGGTCTTGAAAAAATATTCTTTAAAAAATCCACGCCTTCTGGTTCGGCCTTGAAAAAATATTCTTTAAAAAATCCAAGCCTTCTGATTGGGCCTTGAAAAAATATTCTTTAAAAAATCCACGCCTCCGATAGCCCTTGAAAAAAATATTCTTTAAAAAATCCACGCCTTCTGTTAAGCCTTGAAAAAATATTCTTTAAAAAATCCACGCCTTCTGTTAGGCCTTGAAAAAATATTCTTTAAAAAATCCACGCCTTCTGGCCTTGAAAAAATATTCTTTAAAAAATCCACGACTTCTGTTGGGTCTCGAAAAAATATTCTTTAAAAATCCACGTTCTCCTTTCCATAAAACAAAGGACTTAAGACACAAACTTTATCCCCAAACGGCAACTCATTTTAATTCTCTATGTTTCCCTCTCTCTCTCGCTTTATATTTCTATTTCGTTTCTTATTTCTTATATAACATGCAACAATTTGTAGCATATCATCTGTTGTGCCAGACGAAAATTAACCAAACTATTTCATTATTTTAATTTATTTCTTTATATTTTTTCTAATCTCCTCCTTTTCTTTTTCGTCTATTTTTTTAGATATATTTCTGGCCAACATGGAGTCGCGAAAATCGGTTAAAGGAAACTTTTATTTAGGTGGTAAGTAGGCATTTGCCACATAAAATGAAACTTGGACAGAAAAAAAACATGACCAAAAAAAAACCTGGCAGTATTGTGTTAATATTTTTCGCTGGCATCATCACACCATTCACCGGGAGTCATTAGTGGCACGCATGTGTAAGCACATGCCAAGCAAGGCAGTCAGCAAGGCAGCCAGGTTTGCGTTTGTCTGGCACAGCCAGAGATTTGGTGTTAGTTGTATCATTCATATGGGAATTTGTTCGAAAGAAGAAGAAAAAAAATAAAACGCCAGCAACACGTGTGGCTTTCAAAAGACATGTAGACATCATGAACACGTTTGTTTGCCTACATCATCAGCTTCTTCTTCTTCTTTTGTTTTTTGTTTTGTTGCACGAAAGGCCAAAAGTCAAATGTTGGCAAAAAGTTATAGGAATTGCAGGAGGAAAAAAAACAGGTTAATCATCATCATAGATTTCGGTAGGTGTTGAAAGATGCGGGAGGGAGGAAGTGGGAGGGTTAGGAAGCCAAAAATTATGAAATCATTGACCTTGACTTGATCATCATAAGTTGGCTATACGATGGCCACATAGTTGGGCCAAAACCAAACTGATAACGTTGTCGGTGGCGATGAATCTGGTATTTCTCAAATGCAGTGCAAATGGAAATTCGAAATCCATACTTCAACATAAAAAATATGTATGTATGTAGAAACCTGTACCCAAAAAATAAAAACCTCTGCAAATAACAAAACTTATGACGTTTATATTTTTTCTTGTCTTGTCTAAACTTAAGATCTGAACTTTATACCCTGCTGCCTCAGTGCATGGCAAAATTAAATGTTTTTTATTTAATATCACAACAACAATAACAAAAAATATAACTACAAATAATAATTGATAACAAAATGTTTAAAACGTTTGCACACGCAGCATTTTTATTATATTTTTTTATTTTGTGTGTGTGTGTGTGTGTGTTAATATTTAAACAAAAGACTTAAGCCACGAACTTGAAGTTCATTTATTTAGCAGAAGACCTCTGTCATCATCATCACTGAAAGAAACCTGATCGCCGCTGCAGTGTGGCTCTTTTTTCATTGACATTTAAAACGAAGTGGTTTGCACCGCTCAGGAATAGAACTCGTGAACGTCGTGTGAATAAGTCAACGAAGTTCATAGAACTTGATATTACATTTCAAGTTCAAATAGCATTAGAGAAGCAAAGCCAATGGACAAAACTCGTCTTCCAATAAAAAACACATCTTCTTAGATGTAGACCTATTAGACATCGAATGTCATTATATCGAGTAATGGAAGGACCTGTCTACCGTTTATAATTCAGAAGAATTCCTGCACAATAAATAGAATAAACTTTTAAAAATAAGTTAAAAGAGCTAAGTGACAGGAATTCTATTTTTCCAATGCAAAAAAAAATCTGCTTGAAATTTATCGGGGACTGTGGGCAAATTTAATTTTTATAGAAAAATGTCCTTGGCAGCTAAAGATATATAGAAAAACATAAACAGCAGCTGGTAGACAAAGGTTTTTCTATTACAAAATCCTTAGTGGCTGAGGATCGTTTTTTTTTCTTTCTATTGCTGAGGTCAAATGTATTCCAAAGAAACCCCTTCGGACACTTTTTTCTTTCAACAATAATTTTGCAAATGGACAAAAACATTAGGACATGCGGATTTATATATCCTTCGTAACTATGGTGTAAGGGTATAATAGCTTTTCGAGGCAACGAAAAGCGTTTGGAAGTGTTTGGAATACCGTGAAATATTGGTCCAAGACCCACCTTTTAATATACCGATCGTCATATCTTGACTAGCTGGATCGATATAGACATGTGTGTCCATCCATCACAATTTTTAGGACAGATGGACGGACACACATGTCACAGTTATGGACCAATCGTAACAATGTTGGTTCAGTTCGGCCCGAAGAAGACCCCTATTGTTGTTATCCAAAAACCAAAATTTTACACGAAGAATGGAATCTGACCATGGAATAAACAATGCCCATTACATGATAATCGGTCAATATTTAGCGGTTCATATGGACCCAGACTTTTGTGTGATTACACTATTTACATTATATTTTTACTCCCGATCGCAGAAGTTGACAGTATAACCGAGAGAGGTGCCTGACCTATAAATTGATGCCAATTAAATTTGTCAATGAGTTTGTCGCATGAGTTATACGTAAATATTTTAGGGGGTATACGTATTCTGATTACCAGACTAGAGGGCGTAAATGTCGCTCCGATCACCATCAGATGATATTTAAGGGACGAAATGACCAAAAAACTTATGAAATGACCAAGCCAAACATCGCAATTGTTACACGGGGAAGGGGATCTGACCAACCCATTAAAATGACTGTTTTGAAACCCTTTGATCAAGTCGGAAGTTGGACCTACAAAGAGTCAAAATTTTCAAAATTTGTTGATCAAATAGTAAAAAAATGGAGTTTCGATTAGATTTAATATGTGCATATCGTAATATTTTTTACCCACTCTAAGCCATGTCTGAATATGAAATCGGTTTACTCCCGGTATCTTCCCAAAATTTGTCAACATATTAACAAATAGAATATCCGATTTCTTAATATTATTCAAATGGTGAGTTCTTCAAAAAAAAAATTGTACTTCCAAAAACAAATCACCCTTTTCTCCGGGCCAATTATTAAGAACCTAAGGACATTTTTTATAGAAGATAATTTTCAGAACCTGATTACAATTCTTCCGGATTTTAAATGTAGGTCCTACGGTTAAGAGAACATTTTTTGCAATGGTGAGAGATGAACTCCTCCTGCGGGGCCGCCGAGGTTATAAAAAATTCTGGAGAACTCATTTATATGCAATGTGTACCGAAGAATTGATTCAAAGGGAAGAATCGTTTAAATTTTTTCGTTAAATAATTGTCATCCTGATGGTATCTTACATTTGTGAAAAAGAGCATCTATAGATACAACATTTCCTTGTATCATTTTTTAAAAATGAGGTATGGCGAACAGAACATATTCTCCAGACAGTATTAAATAATAGTAAAAGAACCTTCTTGAAGGGGGTTTGTAGATCTCCTTCAGATCTTCTATAGATAGAATAGAGTCGAACAATGTTGCAAAATATATAAAAAGGACAGACAATAATTAACAGAAAAAATAGGATGGATCGAATAGCCATCTGCGAAGCCTTAGCCAAACGGAATGAGATAGGCCCATTTCTTAAACGGATGACTCGCCAGAAACATCGGGAGCTTGGTTGGGAAGTTTACAGTCCGGACTTGGCCCCAAACGATTATCATCTTTTTCTTGCATTGCAAAATTTTTTCAATTATAAAGAATTGGTATCTATGGAGGATTGTGAAAATCGACTACTAGAGTTTTTTTTGCAAATAGAAAGTAGCACTTCTCTGAGAGAGGCATTATGAAGTTACCTTTAAAAGGGCAACAAATCATGCAAAACAACAAATCATGCGCACATTTGGCCCAATTCGGACATTCCGAAACATGTTAAACAAAGTCCTATAGTTACTTAGCTGGCTTATGACAGAACAGTTGTTCCATAAACCGAGCTTAAAACAAGATTTCCAAAGATTTCTTGTGCGCATCTCTTCCAATTTGAAAGACCATATTCCGAGATGTTGTCTTCTACTTGATCTTTCCATCGGATTCGTGGTCCTCCTGGACCACAGCTTGCTCGCTTTTATATGCCTTTTGAGCTGGGGCATTCTCATCCATTCTCACAACATGACCTAGCCAACATACTCGCTGCAGCTCGATTCGTCTGACTATGTCGATGTCCGAGAATAGATGATAAGCTTATAGTTCATTCGATGACGATATTCACCGTTGACGCAGATCGGCCTATAGATCTTCCGGAGAATTTTTCTCTCAAACATTCCAAAAGACCTGCCTCATCTGATTGCTCAAGTACCCAATGCTTCAGATCCATACAACAGCACGGGTAATATCAGCGTTTTGTAGGCTGTGAGTTGAGTCTGGCGAGAGTTGGCCTTGCTTTTAAGTTGATTGCTCCGACCATAGTAGCATCTGTTGGCCAACACTATTCTCCTCCGGATTTCAAAGCTGATATTATTTGTTTTGTTTATTGCGGTACCGAGGTATATAAAATCTTTAACTACCTCGATGTTGTAGTTTTCAAGTTCTACAGTTGGTCAGAGTCTACTGGACGTCTTGCGCGTTGATACCATCAGCTTTGTCATCTCTTACTTTAGCAGACTCCTTCTAAATTTGTTGAAAGATGGCTGTTATCGCTCGCAATGTTCGACATATTATGTCGATGTCGTCGGCGAAGGCGAGTAATATATGCAGCTTGGTGTACAGAGTGCCATTTCTGTTCACATTTGCATCTCGTATGACCTTTCCAGCAGAATGTTAAACATGTTACACGACATACTTTCACCTTGTCTGAATCCTCGTTCGGTATTGAAGGGCACCGAGAGGTCCTTTCCGACTTTAACGGAGAGTGCAGTTATACGGTGACTATCCACAAAGTGGTCCCATATCGATCATTTTATTTTGTAGGGAGATTTTTTATCCCTTGAGAAACCTAAGTACCAAATTATAGCCAATTCTTTAAAAAAAAGACTCAATATACCGAATATTTGCGGGTATCGTTATATGGGTCCTCTACCAAAACGTTGTTGAAAAACACCCCAAGATGGTCTTTTAATAGCAATGCCCTTGAGGGATATCGTTATATGGGTCCTCTACCAAAATTTCGCGGCGTTAAAAACTCCCCTGGAAGGTCTTTTAGCACAATGCCCTTGAGCTATAATACCCTGACAACATAGCCAATTCAGTTAAAAAAGTAAAATCACCCTTGGATGGTATTTTAATGGCAATGCTATTGAGGACCTCATGAGGACCCTAAGTTCCAAATTATAGCCAATTCTGTTAAAAAAGACTCAAAATGCCGAATATTTGGTGGTATCGTTATATGGGTCCTCTACCAAAACGCGGTTGAAAAACACCCCTGGATGGCCTTTTAATGACACTGCCCTTAATATTCTTTCCTAGCTAGAAGTTATGGTGAAGACCGTAAATAAATTAAAGACATTCGGAGAAATGTCTACTAAATAACTCTTATAAGATCTCCACTTCTATTTATATTAAAAAAATACATTCTGAAACACCTATAGATAAAATAACTTCTCAATGACCACTGTCGAATGACGGGAACCTAATAGTATTTTGTGGTCGAACTTAGTAATACATAAGGTCCTTAATATATTTTGTATCAGACTTTCTGAAATCTTTAAAATTTAGAGCTATTTCATGTCTTTAGTAAATAGAAAATCGGTACACTATATTGCACAGGTCAAAGAAGTTACTGAGGATATGTTCTATAGACAGAAGGCCTTTTGTGTTTCTAAGGATAAATTCTACGGAATTTATATAAGGAGAAAATGTTGATCTTTCTGATAGCTATACAGTGCGATCCTGTAACCGTCAAAAATTCGCCATAAATTCAAAATTTCATTTTTAGTTTCAACTTTACTGTTTTCATTCGATATGCCAAAATAAAAATAAAGGAGATGACCTGACCTGTAAAATGTATAAAAAAAATTCCGAACATTTGTTTTAATTTCGAACAAATTTAATTTATGTCCAAACCCAACTGATGGGTGTTCGAACACATCAATCAAACTGGCACATAACTATTTAACGGGCTCAATTAATATTTCATCTTAAAAATAGAGAGATATGACTTGTCAAGCTGACAGGTCAAATATGGAGAAATTTGATAGTGTAAATAGGTATCAGATATCGGTAGCCAAAAACAAAAAAATATACATATGTATGTATATATCTTATTTGGGAACCTGTGATTTATATCTCTCTGACATATTGTATTACGATTTTGACATTGACACGACTTGTCTACCGAAAATGTTAATCACAATATTCGCTAGTAATTAATCTTCAGCGTCGTGGCTCCCTAACGCACTCATAACCCAGACACACACCCATGAAAGCCATCAAGTTCAGTGGTCAAGCGGCTGGGGTGGTGGCTTGCCAAGTGCTAGAATTCTGCATATGGTCGGGCTAATACCATTAACCACATTTCTTTGTAAACATTGAAATCAAGCTGAAGGCTATTTGGGTTATTATTATGCGTCTTCGTATCTGCAGCAGCAATGCCACACAAATCGCCAACAACAACAATCGTAATAATTTTTATTGTTTTTATGGAGGAAAATTAAAAAAAAAAACAGAAATATACGAATTACAAATTATTAAAATAAAAATTAATTTTAATTAAAGAAACAAATTGTACTACAATCGTTATTACCAGTTGGAACAAATGTGAGTCGAGCATTTTAAGCGGGGCGGTGAGGTCAAGCGTAGCAATGAGCAGAAGAAGGAATTGGGGGGTAAAATACGGGCTGGAATTAAAAAAACGGAAAATTACAGAGATAAACATTTTTGAGACCTCTGATCCACAAGTTTTCCTATTTGGAAAAAATTGTAAGGTCCCTGGTTCAAGTTTCTACCGAAAAGAAAACAAATGGTGAAAATCCTGGTCCATATATTTTCTATTAAAAAATTGTTAGAGCTCCGAGCCAACTTTTTTTCCAATTTTTCCATGGTAGAAACAAATTCTTCAGGATCTCTGGTTAAGATTTTTTCGCCCAAAATTTTCTTCTATCAAAAAAAAAAAAAATCGTTAGGAACATAAGCCAATTTTTTTATAGAAAAAAATTCGTTAGATCTCAGGTCCAATTTTTTCCTGAAGAAAAAAATTCGCTGGGACATGAGCATGATTTTTTTTGTATAAAAAAATCGTCAGTATCTACGGTCCAAGTTTTTATAAAGAAAAAAATCATTAGGACCTCATGTCTATGATTTTTTTATATAGACAAAAATATTGTATAGAAAAAAATAGTCAGGACCTATGGTTCAAGTTTTTTGTGTAGAAAAAAAACTCTTCAGGTCACATGGCCCAAGTTTTTTTTGATAGAAAAAAATTGTAGGGACCTATGATCCAAGTTTTTTTTTTCTATAGAAGAAAATTTGCCAGGACCTATGTTTTCTCTACAGAATAAATCGTCAGAACTTATGAATTTTTATAAGGACTCTGGCCCAAATTTTTTCTATAGAAAAAAAATCATAAGGGCATTTTCCCCAAGTTTTTTCTATAGAAAAAATCGTCAGGAACTCTGGAAAATGACTTTTTTTCCATTGAAAAAATCAGCAGGACCAAAGGCCCATGTTTTTGCTTTCAAGTGGTCTAAGCAGTGAGTTGACTTTAGTTCTAAATGGGCCAAGATGCGCCGTTAAAACACAAAGCACCCATGAGATATATAAGACGAGCGAACACCAAGGACAATGAAAGGGTCAGAAGCATGTCATGAGTATACCTAACAGGCTAAGAGGTGGAAGTCCCAAGGATATTCATATTATCCTGTGAAGAATCCCCTTAAGGGGATATGCGAGGTTCCATGAATTAATGTGTCAAGACACCGACGAATCAAGAGTTACGAACAAGGGGGTTACTATTAATAGGTTAGGATTCGGGGGTCCCAAGGGTTACGGACAATGGACTAATATGCTTAACATCCAAGGGTTACGGACACCTCGTGGGACTAAAGAGTTGTAGACACCTCAAGGGAATTCCTAACAGCTTAAAATACAAAGGACCCAATGGTAGCGGACACTTCCAGAGGAGTTCTAACGGCCTTAGAAGCACTCCTAATAGAATACGACTTATGGGACCCAAGGGCTACGGACACCTCAAGAGGGTGCCTAATAGGCTAAGATGCGAGGTACCAAATGTTACGGACAATTCAATTTCTAACGGGTTAAGGCGCATTCCTAATTGTCTAATATGCGAGGGACCCTAATAGACTAAAACGCGTGGGACCCACAGGTTGTAGACACCTCAAGAGTTGAACACTCTTGATTCTAAGAGGATCTTGATCCTAACAGGTCTTTTTTAAATATTTTTTCTAGAGAACTTTCAGACCTTTAGGCGTGGATTTTTTAAATATTTTTTCTAGAGAACTTTCAGACCTTTAGGCGTGGATTTTTTAAATATTTTTTCTAGAGAACTTTCAGACCTCAAGGCGTGGATTTTTTAAATATTTTTTCTAGAGAACTTTCAGACCTCAAAGCGTGGATTTTTTAAATATTTTTTCTAGAAAACTTTCAGGCCTTTAGGCGTGGATTTTTTAAATATTTTTTCTAGAGAACTTTCAGACCTTTAGGCGTGGATTTTTTAAATATTTTTTCTAGAGAACTTTCAGACCTTTAGGCGTGGATTTTTAAAATATTTTTTCTAGAGAACTTTCAGACCTTTAGGCGTGGATTTTTTAAATATTTTTTCTAGAGAACTTTCAGACCTTTAGGCGTGGATTTTTTAAATATTTTTTCTAGAGAACTTTCAGACCTTTAGGCGTGGATTTTTAAAATATTTTTTCTAGAGAACTTTCAGACCTTTAGGCGTGGATTTTTTAAATATTTTTTCTAGAGAACTTTCAGACCTTTAGGCGTGGATTTTTTAAATATTTTTTCTAGAGAACTTTCAGGCCTTTAGGCGTGGATTTTTTAAATATTTTTTCAAGAGAACTTTCAGGCCTTTAGGTGTGGATTTTTTAAATATTTTTTCTAGAGAACTTTCAGACCTTTAGGCGTGGATTTTTTAAATATTTTTTCCAGAGAACTTTCAGGCCTTTAGACGTGGATGTTTTAAATATTTTTTCTAGAGAACTTTCAGACCTTTAGGCGTGGATTTTTTAAATATTTTTTCTAGAGAACTTTCAGGCATTTAGGCGTGGATTTTTTAAATATTTTTTCTAGAGAACTTTCAGGCCTGTAGGCGTGGATTTTTTAAATATTTTTTCTAGAGAACTTTCAGACCTTTAGGCGTGGATTTTTTAAATATTTTTTCTAGAGAACTTTTAGGCCATTAGGCGTGGATTTTTTAAATATTTTTTCTAGAGAACTTTCAGACCTTTAGGCGTGGATTTTTTAAATATTTTTTCTAGAGAACTTTCAGGCCTTTAGGCGTGGATTTTTTAAATATTTTTTCTAGAGAACTTTCAGGCCTTTAGGCGTGGATTTTTTAAATATTTTTTCTAGAGAACTTTCAGGCCTTCAGGCATGAATTTTTTAAATATTTTTTCTAGAGAACTTTCAGACCTTTAGGCGTGGATTTTTTAAATATTTTTTCTAGAGAACTTTCAGACCTTTAGGCGTGGATTTTTTAAATATTTTTTCTAGAGAACTTTCAGGCCTTTAGGCGTGGATTTTTTAAATATTTTTTCTAGAGAACTTTCAGACCTTTAGCCTAGAGAACTTTCAGGCCTTTAGGCATGAATTTTTTAAATATTTTTTCTAGAGAACTTTCAGACCATTAGGCGTGGATTTTTTAAATATTTTTTCTAGAGAAGTTTCAGACCTCTAGGCGTGGATTTTTTAAATATTTTTTTCTAGAGAACTTTCAGACCTCTAGGCGTGGATTTTTTAAATATTTTTTCTAGAGAACTTTCAGACCTCTAGGCGTGGATTTTTTAAATATTTTTTCTAGAGAACTTTCAGACCTCTAGGCGTGGATTTTTTAAATATTTTTTCTAGAGAACTTTCAGACCTCTAGGCGTGGATTTTTTAAATATTTTTTCTAGAGAACTTTCAGACCTCTAGGCGTGGATTTTTTAAATATTTATTAAGAAGTCAGAATTCTATTCGAAGATTCCTTAGAAGACCCATTAACCCCATTAACTCAATTCATAATTTGCCTGCCTCTTTTTAACACTCCCACCCCGACCTTGTGACCTTTAATTGAAAATTAATTCCAAATTTTTGCAAAATCACTAATTGTTATTTTTTACCTGTCTCTCTTTCTCTTCTTCTTCTCTTCCATATTTCGTTCCAGCTTTTTTAGTTCTAGTTGTGCTATTAAATCTTGGCGTGGCTGATGCACGAGTAAGTATGACGACTTATGTCCGATAAAAAAAAATATAATAATTAAACATTAAATGCCATGGATAAATTGTTATGGATGCTTCCGCAATTTTTGGACGGAACCGAAAATTTAATGGAATTTTTCACGCTATGCGAAACAGAGTTGGGGTAGATAAACTGTTGAAACGATGTGGAACACGAAGCGATATGAAAATGGCGAACATTGCTCAAAGGGGACTCTATTTAGATTAATAAAGTCCGGAGGGTCTTCTATTGTCCATAGAAGACATGGCGATATTTTATTTTTTATAAAATATATGGAGCCTTAATGTGAAGACCTGAGAACATTTATTTCTAAGAAAAAAATCCTCAGGACAGTTTATTTTTATCAAAACAAAGTCTTAATGGCCTGCGATATTAGTTCTATGGTCCTGAGCACAAAAATTTTCCGGTATACATAGAAAAAATTCCACGGGACCTGAGCACAAGTTTTTTTCTTAGGTCTGAGACTTTTAATAGAAAAAAATGTTCTCAGATATTCCGAATTTGTGTTTATAAAAATATATACCTCAGGTCCTGAAAAAAATTTTCCTCATGTCCTGAGGATTTTCTTCTATATAAAAAAGATTATTTTCCCCTACAGATCTCTTCCAAAATCTCCAGGATTCTGTTATGCCAAAATCATACTTCACTAATATATTTTCTCTTCCCTGTCCTCCGCCATTTCACAGAGCCATATACCCGCAAGAGTTTTAGCCAAACAAACCGGAGCCACACAATTCGAGGAGCACTATGAAACCCAAGCGGACTGCAATGAACACAAGCACAGCCTAAGGAAGCGAGCCTCCGATGAAGATGTCGACTATGAGGTGTATCAGGGTGTGGTGGGACGTCCCGGCATTGATTTCCCCATTTATCCACGCATACCCAAGACCAGTTTCAGTTGCCGATCCTATGGTAATGGTTATTTTGCAGATATGGAAACGGATTGTCAGGTAAGGGTCTCCCTCCCCCACAAAATTTCTGCCCAAACGAATTTAAAAATATTTCCTCTCCTCTCCAGGTCTTCCACATTTGCGAAGAGGGCCGTAAAATCTCTTTCCTCTGCCCCAACGGCACCATATTTCAACAAAGTGAACTAACCTGTGATTGGTGGTTCAAGGTCAACTGTTTGGGTTCGTCAACTTTCTATGGTGAGAGTAGCGAACTGTTGGGAAAACAGCGCGATCAACATTTAAAACCCGTTGTACCCGTCCAAGGTTTTAATATAGTAGGCGGTGGTTTGAATATAAAACCTCGAGTACCTGCTAAGAGTACGTCCTCGCGTTCGCGGGAAGGAATTTCCATTGATGCTGAGCCATCAAGTGTTAATTATAATGGTAAGAGTGGTCGTAATGGTTCAGGTTCGGGTAGAAATTCGGATGGTAGCAGTGGATCAGGACAACGTAAAGGTTCCGGAGATTTGGATGGTCCCTATGGCGGCGGCAAGGGTAAGGTGTCAGGTAGCCAAAGATCGGGTGCGGATTTGAGTAATGAAAATTATGGAGCTGGCAATAGAGGCTCGGGTGTCAATGGCGACAAATACCGGGATGGAAATCGTGGCCCTAATGCCTCCAATGATAAATACAGAGATGGTAATAGAGGACCCGATGCCAGCAATGATAAATACAGAGATGGTAATAGAGGACCCGATGCCAGCAATGAAAAGTACAGAGACGGAAATCGTGGCCCTGATTCCACAAACGATAAATACAGAGATGGCAAACGTGGTCCTGATGGCAGCAATGAATATTATCGTGATGGTAATAATGGCCCTAATAGTGACAGTTATAATGTGGGCAAAAATGGTCCCGATAATGACAACTATAGAACTGGTGGTAAAGGTAAAGATGGTCCCAGCGGTGATAAATATCGTGTAGGTGGTAATGGTCCCAATGGCAAAGATGGTCGTGCGGGAGGTAATGGTCCAAGTGCTGATAAATACAAAGTCGGTAAAAATGGTTCCAGTGGTCCGGATGGTCCCAGCGGTCCTGATGGACCCCAGGGTACAAATGGTCCCAGTGGATCGGGAAGTGATGTGACTCCTTTTGCTGCCACCAGTGCCAGTCATGAATATCCCAGCATCAACAAACCCGAAAGACGTATCGATTCCGCTGAAATGCCTTCCATAGAAAGTGTGGACTTTGAAGATCTTTCCAGTGAAAAATCCCGTTCCGGAATTACCGTTATCAACAGCAATACTAATGATGAAGATGAATCCCAAATAACAGCTGAATCCGCATCCTTTGTTAGTGATCGCAGTCGTAATGCTTATGGGGGTGCAGATAAGTCCAAATATCAGGTTGCGGCCAAGGATTCCAAGGGCGGCAAATCATCCGATGAAGGACGTAACAGAGGTGCTGGAGATCGTGGCTCACAAAGACATGGCTATGTCGGATTGAGCAGTGAAACCACAGAGAAAGCCCGCAATGGCCAAAGGGGTAATCAACGTTACCGTGAGGAGAAGCCTGCCCAGGACTCGAGTGATGAAAAATTGAATAAGAAGTACAAATATTCCGGCAGCAACGTGGAGAACAAGAAGGAAAAATTCGTGGTGGATAGTGGTGATAAGTTACCGCACCCCACACCGTCCTATGTTTCGGGAACCTACACCACAGCTAGACGTTTGGATTCGACCAGGACAACCCCCTTCTACACACCCACAGTACCCTCCGTGGTGGTCAAGGGTAAGAGTGGAGGTAGTGATGGAAAATACAACAAAGAGGGCGTGGCCACAACTCCCACACCACACCGCTTCAATGTGGCAAAACAGGGTTCAGGTCTCCTCTTGGGTGAGGGTGAAAAGAAAGATGCCGTGAAACCCACAACCAGTCCCAAATCTTCGCAAGTTAGTGAAGCCACAACCCTACGCTCTATTGTGATTGGTATGCGTCACAACTATGGAGAACAAGAGTTGCCACGTAATCACAAATATTATGAAGCGGATATAGACTCCGGAGAATCCACAACACCAGCCACCACCGGCCCAACCTATTTACCCAAATCTTCGTCAAGTACTACAAAGCTTTCCAAGGGTTCCAGTGGTGATAATTTGCTCTTTGCCCCCGTTACCGATATTGAGGTTAATCGCAATGTCAACGAGATGCTGAAGACCATGGATGTGATAAAACATAACTTCCAGGATGTGGAATTGATCAAGCAATCCGCAAATGGTAGCAATCGTCCTGGTTTGGATATACCACCATCATCGGGACCGGATGCTTTGGTTTCATTGGCCAAATATTTTGCCACAGAACATAATGAGTCTTCTTCGTCTGTTGGGCACAATGTTAACTCTCTGGCCGCGGGTGAGGATAAGAAAACGGAAAGTGTTAAGGGTAAAAGTGACACCTTGTCGACAACGGTGTTGAGGGAGAAGGGAGAAGGCAAGGGTGCAGAGGATAACAGTGATACGACATTGGTTTCGTCCAAGAGTGAATCTCATTCCGGCAGTTCAAATTCCTTGGCGCCCAAAGACAAACCCTCCGACACCACTGCCACCTTGACCACTGAAAGTTCAGCCTCATTGGCGGCCAACGCCGATGACATTGCCAACAGTTTGTTGAGCAATAAAACCGTCAAGAAATACCAGAAACTCTTTGGTTTGGATCAGGGCGAAGAAGAAGGAACTGAAACTCCGGACAGCAAATCCCGAAGTGGCGTAGATGCGGTAAATATTCCCGCCACAGCAAATGTGGTGACCTCCTTCCCACAAATTGGCCCCACAGATGCCACCATACGCACCCTGGCCGAAAAACCTGAGTCACGTAAAATTGCCCAAGTCTTCTCGAATGCCCTTAATGATTATCTCAATGATCCCATCAAGTTCCGAGATGAATTGAGGTCCCAGGCCAGACCCACAGAACCACCATTTGAAAATCGTTTTGTTAGTGTCACCGATCCCACTCTGTTCAATCATGGCACTGCGGCCACTTATTTGCCCACAGTAGCTCCCACCACAAATCGCCCATATTCCACAACAGAATCGAACTTAGCGGCAGATATCAATAGCCATTTGATTACCTCGACCGGGTATCCAGATTCTGAACAAACCACAAATGTATTCGATGCCACCACCTTTAAGAGTTCCTCAGAACGTAAATCGAATTTGGAATTCTCGGCAGAATTGGAACCACCCAGTAATTCCGATTCTGGAGAAGAACTTTTGCACACCCAGCACACCGAATCGTTTGTCAAGAATTCAAGAAATCACAATGAAAAATCTGGCAAATTGAGTACGGACCCCAAGCCACAAAAACCCTGGACCTTTGCCAATGAAGATGATGTTTTGGATCCGCTGAAAATCAATGATGGTCTGATGAAGAAAACCACCTATCAGCCCAAGACCCAGGGTAAATCTTCATCGTTTACATTAGATACACAAGCAAGAAGCCATACATCTTACTCCTCGAGCTCCTCCTCTTCAGAACGCATTGAGGGTAGACAAAATTCCCAATATAGACAGCAACAACAACAACAACAACCGGAAGATCCTTGGGGTGATCTTTTTGATTCCTATGATATCTCCAAGGAAAATCTACCCGCCACCACAGGACTTCAGCGTATTGCCAATAAACTATTTGGTGGCCTCAATGAATCGGAGGCTCTACATTTGAAAAATGTTATGGCCGAAGCGGAACATAATCGTCAAATTTTAAGACTTCTCCTTCTGCTCATTCAAACCTGCGACGATCACAATGGCAAGGCATTGGAACGATCACGTAAAAGTCTACTGGGAGCCTTGATTTCCATGGATGGTAAATTGCACAGCTCTACAAAGACCCAGACTAGAGAACTCACGCACACAGTGACCACAACAGAAAAGCTACCCATTACCACCTATCGCAGAACTGGTAGTGGCGAAGAAATTACCACGACCACCATGAGTTATGGTTCCACAGATTTGCCACCAGCCACAACAACATTTACCGCCACCACCACAGCAGATAGCGGCGCCAACAGTGCCGAAGCCACCACAAAATTTGCCATTATTGTTGATGATATTGGTGGTGAAACTTCCGCCGCAACAACGACAACAGAATCAGGATCTATAACATCCTCCTCCGGCTCTTCATCGCCCGGCAGCCTTGATGGCAATGCCGATAAAAGAGCTTTGGAATTACTAAAGTCATTGTATTCACTGGCCTCGAAATTCACCAGCAGACGGTAAACTAGTAAAAGCTACATAGGCCTAGTAAGCTTTTATTTGTCCACATACGATTCCTAAAACAATCAACAAAAACGATAAATCCTGTAAAGCAGAAAACAAATCAATCAAACAGAAACAGTGTTGCCAGCATTAATTACTAGCAGTTATTAAGAAAGCTTACCTACAAAACAAAAGCTTTTCATAAAGAAAGAATGGAAGGAGAAGAAATCATATTAGTCAAAATTTTTTTATCTACAATATTTTTGTTAAAAACAAAGCTTCTTTATTTTTTTGTAAAATGTTGCAAAGTTTTATTTTTTTATTAGTTTTTAAGAGATTAGAACTTTTTTTCTCCGAGACCCTAAAGCATTTAACAGTCAAGAAGTCCTTATTTCTTTGTCTCAATTTTTTTCAAGTTCATCTTTTATTATGTTCTATCCAAAAAATTAAAATCCACCGCCAAATAAGTCAAAACAAACTCACACACCTAATAAGAAACGTTCCATAACTCATTCACAATAGTTAAGCCTGAAGTCACAATAATCCAATAGTTAGTCCGTCAAGTAAAGTACGTAACGTAAGGCAGAATTTTCAAGTCATCTGGTTCGTTTAGTGTGAAGAATAGAAAAATAAAACTATATCCTACTGATAATGGTGTTGAGGAAAAAAAAGGAAGAAGAGATATAAAGGCGATTATCGCCTAATAGTGAATCTCAGTTCGGAACATCAAATTCCTCGATGGCCAATTATAAACCTTGAAATATAACATCCATATGGACCACTGAAAGTTCAGCCTCATTGGCGCCCAACGCCGATGACATAGACACCAGTTTGCTAAACGATAATTCACTATTTAATTAATCCGTTAAGTAACGTAGGAAACGCACGTCATACAAATATTCGGAAATCTAACACCGATCATTTTCTTAAAATAAAAACAATGAAGACATATACCAGAAGACTTACTACCCTGATTCAATCACAAACAATTGGTACTCCAGCAAGTAACGTACATAACGTAAGGCATTGATATTTTGAAATCTTCATTGGGGCCCAACGTAAATTATATTGCCACCATAAATTAGATAGGGATCAGAAAAGTAAACATTTCAAAAAAGTGATGCTCTTTCTCCTAATTAGCGGTGAACCGAAAGTATGGAGAAGGTAATTGTGAAAAGAAGGAAGCCACGTCTGAAATTTCTAATATCCAACAAAAAACCTCTCAGATTTCACTGAACTTTTCAAAATAAGTAGAACAACTTCATTGGCGCCCAACGTAAATAATATCGCATCGATTTTACTTAGAGACACACACGAATCATAAGCATGAAAAATCTTACATCCTAGTCGGTGGATGTGATAGGGACCAGAAAACTAAAAAAATGTCAAGAATAAAGTGACGCTCTTTCTTCGTGTCATCGGTGACCAGAAAGTATAGAGAACAAGGTAACCATGAAAAAATTGGTATTTCCAATTCCTTGGCTTTACCCAAAAAAAAAAACAATAAGCGCCCAACGTGAAAACCCCCCAAGATATCACTGTCATTTTGACCTTAAGCAGAACAGCACAATTGGCGCCCAACCTAAATGATATCGCATCGATTTTACTTAAATACACCCATGAGTCATAAATAAAATGGACATGAAAAATCTTACACCCTGGTCGGTGGATATGATAGGGATCAAAAAAACTAAAAAAAATGTCAAGGATAAAGTGACGCTCTTTCTTCGCATCATCGGTGACCAGAAAGTATAGAGAAGGGTAACCGTGAGATGAACCTCATTTAGGAAGTTCCATTAATTGGCGCCCAACGTAAAAAATCACAGTTATCACTGTCATTTTGACCTTAGGCAGAATAGCTCTATTGACCCCAAAGTAAGGGCCATCGCAACCATTCTACTTAAATACACCCATGGGTCATAAGTGAAATTAGTATGAAACATCTTACTCCCTGGTCGGTGTATAGAATAGGGATCAGAAAACTGAAAAACTGTCAAGTGACGCTCTCTCTTCTATCCACAGTGACCCGAAAGTATAGAGAAGGAAACCGTGAGAAAATTTCCTCTGCTAATAACCCTTATTCCCAGATCTGGCGCTATCCACGATAACGATCAGAAAAATTCCAAATGTGGTTCAAGAAGAAGCTACAGGTGGTACCAACGACCGATTTCAATACATCTTCCCGTTCATTAGCCCAATGAATTGGCAAGGGGACAAATAATCGAACCGCTTGAGGAATGAAATTGTCAAAAGTTTGGACACTTCCTATGTAACTAAAAATAAACCTTCAGATACCACCCCTACATTAGCCAGCGAAAGATTTTATCCATTGGCGCCCAAAGTCGATGACATTGCCAACTTCAATAAATCGAACACGGGAACACGACCGAGGTTCAGTTTGTTCTTTCATCTTGTTCCTTGTAATAAAATCTCTCATCCATACATCTTCCCATTCATTAGCCCAATGAATTGGCAATGGGATAAATAATCGAACCGCTTGAGGAAAGAAATTGTCAAAAGTTTGGACACTTCCTATGTAACTAAAAATAAACCTTCAGATACCACCCCTACATTAGCCAGCGAAAGATTTTATCCATTGGCGCCCAAAGTCGATGCCAACTTCAATAAATCGAACACGGGAAATAAGAGGTAAATTAAAGGACCCAAAATAGTCTACTTCATATTCCTAGGTATTCACAGATAAAGAGAAAATTCAGGTCCAATGGCACCCAACGTCAATGAAGTTGTCTTCGAGGATTTGATTAGAGCGAATGGGAAAATGTCACATCAAATTGGTCACTTCTGGAAAAAGGACCTGCTGAAGGGTTTTATATAGAAAGTAGATCTTTTGAGTGTATTTTATATGCAGACGACGCTCAGATGATCTTCTATAGACAGAATATCTCTTGACGGTATCTAACCGAAAATATGAAACCAAGTCTAAAAGTGTTTTAGCAAATTTTTATGTCACACCAAATGTGCCACTTCAGGAAAAATGGCCTTCTGAAGCCATTTATATAGGAAATAGATCTTTGGATGGTATTTTAAGGACAAGGACCGAGGACCTCATGCAGACCTTTAATAGACAGAATATCTTTTGTGATGTCAATTCACAATAATGTATTTGACAGCAAAGAAACAGAGACAGTTGAAAGGATCAGCTGATCTGGCTGGTTGACAACCAGAGAAACAGCTGTTTTTCTTCAAGTTTAATATGAAGAATGTTATTTACGTTATCGTAGTGTAAAGTCAATTCACAATAATGGCTTTTGACATCACACTTGAGAAACAGCTGATCTTCCTGGATAACCCTATTAATAGACCCTGCACATTTAACAAATCGATCATACTTTAAACAATTTTGTTTGTGATTAATTCAAAATAGAATATTATTTTTGAGAGTTCTTGGTTTGTTCAGTGGTTTATCATACATATTGTACAGTAACGTTCACATTTTGACAGTTGAGGAGAGAATCAGCTGTTTTATCGGAATGACTTTAAGCATCACTTAAAACAGACAAATTTATGTGTAATGTTTTGACTTATTACTACCCCTTTATTCTGACACAAATTTGAACTCCTTATTCTATTTTTTATCCTTGAAACTGTTTCAAACTTTGTTTAGACTTAATTATTAAAATAATGTTTTTTTATATATATATAGAATATTTAAAAGAAAAAAACCAATAACAAAAAAAATGAAATTATTTTTTAAGTATCACACTGCCGTAACTTGTAAATATTTGTCACCGAAGTTGAACGAGAAACAAAAACACACACAAAATGTTATAAAAAAAAATTATGATGATGATAATGATAATATTGTCACAAATAAGTATTAGTTAATGAAAAAAAAAATAAAACAAAAAAAGAAAAGAAACTACAACAATAATACTAAAATACTCATATTATATCAATTTCTATTGTTTTACAAGATAAGAAGGGTTGTCGGATATGATTCCTATAGTTAACCCACAACTTGTTTCCAATTTCCTAACTACTGATCCCTGCTTGCATTGCTTTGCCAAAATTATTCTCTTTTTTTATTGTTTTATATTTTTTGTGTAAATATTTATATTTATTATTATTTTTGTCTTCAAATACTTGTTTACTATAGCTATCCTCCTTCTCTTTTGCCACATATTTTTTTATTTTATATATAAACTATATATATTTTTTGTATATTAATATTTAAATAAATAAATAAAAATATAAATAATAAAAATTAAATAAAGAATGTTGAGTATTTTATTTTGAAAAGGGGGACACATCTAGGATATCAAGAAAATTCTGTCATAATATCTCCTAAATACCGCATATACCCAGAAGATCTCTTGAAGTATTCTTAGAAGACCTGTTTAAGGTCTCTTTTAGACACAAGATCTACATTTATTCTAAAACCAAAATATTTTATGAGGATCTTCTTTAAACAGAAGGTCTACCAATCAGTTGCCGAATACTTTTTGGATGGTATTATAGGTATAGACAAAATACCTCCTATAAGTATCTCAATAAGGTCCTTCAGGTCCTCTCTGGAAAAAGTTCTTGGAAAATAAGGCCAGCTATAATCATGGATTTCTAATGAATGGAATAAAAAAATTGTTTAGGAAGAAATGGGTGTATATGCATACTGCCTAGACACAATTCTCCTGAAGGTATTATAGACCTCCTGAAGGACCAAAGAACTCCTGGAGGTGTTTTATAGAAAGAATGTATCCTGAAGTTCTAGCATCACCAAATCTCCTAATGGAGATATTATATCAAAGGAATTTTGAAGGTCTGCTATAGAAAAAAATCTTTCCTGAGGATATTTCAAAGGCCTTTTAAATGCTGTCTATAAACAGGGTGTTTCCTTGAGGGTCTTCTGTACATAGAACGTCTGCTGAATGTCTTCTATGGACAGAAGGACTCACGAAAGTCTTCCACATCCACTGAATGTGTTTTATGAAACATTATCTCCTTAAAACCTTCTACTGACAAAAGGTCTATTGAAAGCATTATTTACACAAATTGTCCTCTAAGACTTATTTGAGGATTTTTATAGACATTTTATAGTCAGAAGACATTCGAAAGGTTTTCTATAGAAAGAGGATCTCATGAAATTTTTCTGGCTATCTTCAATTGACAATCTATAGAGAGTCAAAAATTTCCTGAGGTTATGCGATCAGCAGACGGTCAATTGAAGGTCTTTTATAGACACAAGGCCTCCTGAGAATCTTATTTCTGCAAAGATCTCCAGAGGTTATACAATCGCCATACAGTCAATTGGAGGTATTCTATGGTCACAAGGTCTCCTGAGTGGTTTTGAAGGCAAATACCCTTCTAAGGGATTTCATTATCTGAAGGACTCGTAAAGAATTTTTAACAAAATCTTTTGCAAATCTTTTATCGACAGAAGGCTTACTGAAGGTCTTTTATGGACATAAGGTCTCCTTTTTAAGGACCATCTAACAGAGGGTCTCTTGAAGGTCTCCGACAGATAAGCAAAGAACCTTCTAGCGACCTTCAACTGACAATTTCCTAAAGTTCTTCTATAATTAAAGATCTCCTGAAGTTATACAATCGCCAGACGGTCAATTTGAGGTCTTCTATAGAGACAAGACCACCCGAAGGACTTCTTTGGACATAAGGTCTCTCAAGAGTCTTCTAAAGGCAAAAGACATTCTGATGGATTTTATGATCTGTTGAGGATCTTTTATAGGCAGAAAGCTTCTTAAAGGTATTTTATAGTCGGAAAATCGTTCGGGATCTTCTATCGACAGAAGGCTTACTGAAGGTCTTTTATTAACATAATTTGACCTGACAGACTTCTGAAAGTTTCCTTCTCAGAAGACCATCTAAAAGAGCGTCTCTTGTAGGTCTCCGACAGAAATTTTGATAAGCAAAAAACATTCTGGCGATCTTCAACTGACAAAGATCTCCTGAAGTTATACAATCGGCAGACGGTCAATTTGAGATCTTCTATAGAGACAAGACCACCCGAAGCACTTCTTTGGACATAAGGTCTCTCAAGAGTCTTCTAAAGGCAAAAGACATTCTGACGGATTTTATGATCTGTTGAGGATATTTTATAGACAGAAAACTTCTTAAAGTTATTTTATAGTCGGAAAATCGTTCGAGTTCTTTTACGGAGAAAAGACCTTGAGTATATTTTTTATAGTTTTCAATATACAGAAATTCTGAGGTTCATATACAGCCCGAAAACCTCAGAACACCTTCCATTAAAGAAATCCCTCTGGGTTGTTCTAGAGAAAGAATAAATCCTAACGTTCTCCTATGGGCAGAATAATTTATTAAGTCCTTGTGAAAACTCCTGCCGACTGAAGACGGTGTTTGATGGCGTTTAAAAGCCAAAAGATATTCAATAAATGTAAATGCAGAATACGTCCTGACTGTTTGCCACAGACGGAAGGTCTCTTGAGTCTATTCCATGGACATAATAACTCATTAAGGCCTTTTTTAGGAAGGTTACCACTTCGGGGATGTTCTGTATACAGAGATTCTTCGAAGAAAATCGGAAAAATACAGAAAATCAATTCTGTATACTAAAGATTTGGAGATCTATTCTGAGTGCGCAGATCTTCTACAGACTTAAGAGAGAAAAGGTCTTTTAAAGGCTGAATATATCCAACAAACCTTTTACTGAGGGCAGGCTTTAGAAAATATTCTGAAGAGAGAAGCCCACCATAGGGTCTTGTGTAGACAGAAGATATCCTGAGGGTCTTCTATATACATAAACGTACTAAAGATCTTTCATCGAATATCTTAAATGTTTTCTCTAGACAAGAGGGACTTTTACAAATAGAATACACCCTAGGGTGGTCTATACACAGATGATCTTCCGGTAGTATATTTTAGCAAGAAATACTTCTGAGAATCTTCCATAAAAAAACATTCATTTATAGATCGAAGACTTCTTGAGGATCATTTCTAGATCGAAAACTTCTTGAGGATCATTTCTAGACAGAAAACTTATAGCTATAAGATCTTCAGGGCGTCTTCAATAGACAGAAGACCTAATACATAGAGTCTTCTATAGACAGAAGAAACCAGGAAGGTTTTGCTATAGACAGACGGCCTCTGGAGGGACATTATAACTCTTTAAGGCCTGAGATATTACGAGAGTCTTCAGAAATCCTTTTTAGAATCTTCCACGAACTTCCTGCAGGTTATAGACAACTTTTTGATGGTCACTTGTAGACAGAAGAAGTACTGGATATAATATCTCCAGGATGTCTAAATAACTTAGAGAGTAGATATGCTCAAAAGTTTCTATAGGACTTTTTCAAATAGAAGATATTCCAAGGCTGAAGAATTCTCTCTCCAGAGAACATCTTCTAAAATTACCTCCTGAAGATATTCTAAAAATCTTCTATAGGCAGAGGACCTGATGAAGGCAGAGGACCTATAAATACCTCCTGCAGGTTTTCTGTAGACAGAAGACCCCCTTAACGTATATTGCGGATAGAAGTGTTACTGAGAAGTCTTCATAAGGCTATTGATGCAACAGAGGTGCTTTGTTTATTCTATAGATAGAGGCCTCCTGATGAATTTCTATCGGCAATATACGTGCCGATGATCTCCTTCTATAGATAGAAGACCGCCTGAACTTATTCTGTCTTATAACTTGTTTTAAAACTACATCCTGAAAGCCTTCTTCAATAAACAGAGGAGTTTCTGAATGTCTGCCATAGACAAATTACCTCCTGCAGATTTTCTATAGACAATGGACCTTTTTAAGATCTGCTATTAACAAAAGACCACTTGAAGGTTGTCTGTAGATCTCCTGGATCTCCTGAAGATTTACTATTAACAAAATACCTTTTAAAAATAGCCTGTAAACAGGTCTTCTACAGTTAGAAGTGTTCCGGAGAGGCCTTCATAAAACGTTACCTCCTGAACTTCTTCTATAACGGTCTCCTAACGGTGTTCTATTGATATTCTATAGGACCTCCTGAATGTCTTCTACAGATAGAAGTGCTCCTGAAAGACCTTCATAAGATTTTTTTGGTTAGGGTAATTCTTAGGTTCAGTTGCTCATTTGAACTCCATACTTTCTCCATCTAATAGATTTTCCGATTCTAGAATGCCTTCAAAAGATCATTATTCTATTGAAGAGCTATAAAATGGTTCATCTTCTCTCCTGAGAATATTAAATAGAGGTCTTCTGTGGACAAAGGATCTCCCGAAGATTTGGTATTAATATAGGACCCCATTGAGGTCTTCTACATGTAGAAGGGCTCCGTAGAAACCTTCATAAAATTTTACCTTCAGAATTTTTTCTATAACTGCATCCTTAATGTCTTCTATAAATATTCTATAGGACCTCCTGAAGGTATCCTTTATAGAAAAGACCTCCTTAAGGTCTTCTGCTGATAGAAGTGCTTCTGAGAGACCTTCAACGATTTTCGAAGATTTATTAAAAGTTTCGTTTATCATCTTACCTCCATCCACCCTCCACCTATCCGTAAAATAGATTTTCCATTTCTAGAATACCTTCAGAAGATCATTATTCTATTGAAGAGCTATAAAATGGTTCATCTTCTCTCCTGAGAATATTAAATACAGGACCTCCTGAAGGTCTTCTATGGACAAAGGACCTCCCGAAGATTTGGTATTAAAAAAGGACCCCCTGATGTTTGTCTGTAGACTGTGGCCCCCTTGAGGTACTTCTATAGATAGAAGTACTCCGTAGAAATCTTCATAAGATTTTACATTCAGAACTTTTTCTAACTACATCCTGAATGTATTCTATAAATATTCTATAGGATCTCCTGAATGTATCCTTTATAGAAAAGACCTCCAGTTTATCATCTTACCTCCATCCACCCTCCATCTAACGTAACCATATAATAGATTTTCTATTTCTAGAATACCTTCAGAAGGTCATTATTCTATGGAAGAACTATAAAATAGCACATCTTCTCTCCTGAGAATTCTATCACATCGAACATTCCATTCAATGATTATTTTAATTAAACAAATTTTCATTCAAGGTTTCTGCATTTGAATTTGAAATCAATAAACATATAACAATAACAACAACAACAGCAACAACTAAAAAATCATCCATAAAAATTTGTTAACAAATCAATCCGACATCCGAATAATGATCCATCACTGTTTGAGAAAAACAGCAGATTTATGGACATGAATAAAACAAATCCCCATAAAAATAATGACGACAATGACAATAGAACGACAAATGTGATGCGAAGTGTGAACAGCAAACCTAACCTCAATCAGCAAACTCAGTGGCTTTGATTTATTTCACCCAACGGAACTTATCGAAATGGGTTAACAAGCCAGTCAGCCAGCCAAAATATTGAAGGTTGTTGGTGGTTTGAGATCTCAATTACGATCTTTGCAACTACCAATGAAGGATATCATCTGACCTTAAAATTAACTGGGAGTCATTTACATACATACATACCTACATGTCACATATTTACATACCATTGTGGATAATTCCCAAACGCCCTTCTTGCTCCTCCCCAAAAAAATCGGATGCCATTTTCTATTTGGGTGTTGTTGCTGTTGAGTTAACCAACCATTCAATGAATATCAAAATCATCATAGCTGAGCGCCAGGCCAGTGAAACCAATTGGAAAAAACAACAATGGATAATCCCGGGTAATAAATCTCCATACACAAAACCTACAGTGTGTTTGAATTAGCATTTCGGATTCCACAGTGGCAGTAAAAATAAACCATGTGTCGCTGCCACCACAAACAACCAAACGAGGCAACGAACAAACAAACCACCCACCCATCCAACCGCCACCTTCAAACACTTAAAAATCCCCAACGGTCAGCGATATGGCCTACAACACAGCAACACCAAACCTCATACGACTGGGCTAGGTATGCAGCTTAACCATATTGGTGATGGAGATGCTGTTGAGTACTGCGGGATCGACGACGCTGATGATGATAATGTTGTCATTAATTTAAAAAAGAAAAAAAAAAATACCTAGGGTCGAGGTTGAGATGACTCAATTATAACAGTACACCTGAAGATCTCAGGCATGCCTTCTAAAGAAGTTAGACCTGTTAAAGGTATTCTATATATAAACTGTAATCTGACGAGGGCTATTGGTAAGAAGAACTCCTAAATTTCATAGAAAATACCTCCTGAAAGCCTCCTATAGTTAGAAGACCAGATTTCCTTAAGGTTGATTATAGACAACCTAAAAGACCTTTCTTAAACATAGGACATTTTGAAGGTCCCCTATAGTCAAAGAACTACTCTAGACAATGGACCTCCGGAATATTTGCTATTAACAAAAGACCTCCTGAAGGTTGTCTGTAGACAATAGAACCCCTTAAGGTCTCCTAAAGATATAAGTTCTCCGGAGAGGCCTGTATATGATTTTAAATCCTGAATGTTTTTTTTTTACAGGCAGAAGAGAACCAGGAAGATCCCTCTTAAAGGAGGCAGACGACCTCCCCTTTGAACAGAAGGCCTCTTGAAGGTCTCCTATAGACTGAAGACCATCTGATAGTTTCCTATAGAGAGAGGACATCCCAAAGGTCAAAGGTATTCTATATTCAGAAGACCACCTGAAGATCTTCTATAAACTGAAGATCCCCTAAAAGTCTTCTATAGACAGCGGACCTTTTGAAGCATTGCTACAGACAGAAGACCTCCAGTATCTCTTGTTTATATGGACACAATACCACCTGAAAGTCTTCCCTAAAGATATGACAGCCAGAATGCCTCTTGAGGGCATGCTACAGACAAAATACGGCCTAAACTTCTTCCTAAAAACTTCTGGAAAGTCTTCTTGATCGTCTATAGATACAGGACCTAAAGAGAGTGTTTTATATGCAGAAGACCCCTTTAAGGTCTTGTATAGACAGAAGACCTCCTAAAAGTCGCCTATATACAGGAGGATATTTAAAGATTTCTACAGACAGAGGGCCTAAAGAGTCTCATAAACTCAGAATACCTCCTTAAGGGATTATATAGGTAGAAGACCTGCTGTATGACTCCTTTAGACAGAAGAAGAAACCCAGCAGACCTGTTGAAGGTATTCTATGGACAAAAGAGCTCCTAAAGGATTTGTATAGTTAAAAGAAATACCAGAATACCACCTGAACTTCTTCCAAACACCTTGCTGAGGGTTTCTGAAGAATTATGTAGACAGAGGACATGAAATTAGAATACCCCATAAGGGTTCTATAAACACAAGATCCCGCTTAAGGGCTCCTGAAAGTCTTGTAAAGATCTCCTATAAGCAGAAGACAACCTTTCAGTCAAGGTAATAAAAGTATCACAGTTGTAATAAAAGTATCATAGGATGGTCTTCTATTTTATATTCATGTTCCATAAAAGACTATTCCGGAGGCATTTAACACCATAGAAGTATACTACGGAGCTCCTACTAACCTATAGAAGTATCTTACCAAGGTCTCCAATTCTACAGAAGTCTCCTACGGAGGTCTCCTATTCTATAGAAGTCTTCGACGAAGGTCTCCTATTCTATAGAAGTCTCCTACGGAGGTCTCCTATTCTATAGAAGTCTCCTACGGAGGTCTCCTATTCTATAGAAGTCTCCTATTCCATGGAAGTCTCCGACGGAGGTCTCCTATTCTATAGAAGTCTCCTACGGAGGTCTCCTATTCTACAGAAGTCTCCTACGGAGGTCTCCTATTCTATAGAAGTCTCCTATTCCATGGAAGTCTCCGACGGAGGTCTCCTATTCTATAGAAGTCTCCATCGGAGGTCTCCTATTCTTTAGAAGTCTTCAACGGTGGTCTCCTATTCTATAGAATCTCCATCGGAAATCTCCTATTATATTGAAGTATCCTACGGTGGCCTCCTATTCTATAGAAGTCTCCAACAGAGGTCTCCTATTCTATAGAAGTCTCCTACGGAGGTCTCCTATTCTATAGAAGTCTCCTACGGAGGTCTCCTATTCTATAGAAGTCTCCTACGGAGATCTCCTATTCTATATTTGGAGGCTTCTTCCATTGAATAAATGGAAAAATATTTTATAGAATAGATGGAGACTATCTTTGGAGACTTTTTCTATAGAATAAATAGGGACTCCTTTTGGAGACTTCTTCTATAGAAAAGATGTAGGGCTCCCAGGGAGACTTCTTCTCTACTACCTTTGGAGACTTCTTCTCTAGAATAGATGGGGACTCGTTTTGGAGACTTCTTCTATAGAAAAGATATAGGGCTCCCTGGGAGATTTATTCTCGAGAATGAAATATAAATTTCGAATCTGATATTATTTTGACGTCATTTAATTTAAACTTCATACACTTACCTTCTAATCCGTCATATTACCACCACCATCCAAAGGTAGCGTAACGAAGAATGATAAACCATCACATATCGTAAATTTCGACAAGATGCTTTTGATGCGGACGCTGTTGCTACTGCTGCTGCCGACGTTATTTGGAACTGCTCCAAAGGGAGACATTACCGAACAAATAAACATAAAATCGGAATGCAAATGCAGAGAACATCATCTCATCGGCTATTGTTGTTGTTGTTGCTGCTGTTCTTGCTGCTGTAGTTGGGAGTGTAAATTCTATGCAGTTTTGTTATGATTTTTTAAACACCATCGAGCATTGGAAGAAGCTTTTTTCCGAGGCGCGAACAACAAACCATTCAAGTCCAAGTATAAAATGTTAGAACTTTAGGCGAACAGCTTACAGTCTTGATTGGGTGGTGTTGCAAAGTAAAACGTTCTTGGCGAGAATTTGAATTTTTCGTTTTAACTAACTGTAACGGAAAAAAAGAAGAATATAAAATTGAAATTAAATTAAAAAATTGAAATAAAGTGAAAATAATATTAAAAAAATATATTTTTTATATAAAAAATTAAATATTTTTCTTAATATAAATCTTTTGATGGATTTTAATATTTCAATATTTCTGTTAAAAGGTAAGTATTTCAAATTTTCTTATACGAAAAAAAAACCTTAACTCTTTCTCAAGGCTGTGTTTATTTTCGAAAACTCAAATAGACCCACAGAAGAGGCCTATGAGTTATGGGCCTTACAAAAATGTGTGCGAGTGTATGTGTGTGTTCCCATTTCCATATGTGCTTTTTAGTACGCTTGACCACCATCGACGAGAGCCATCATCTCAATATATTTCCTTTTGTTTTCTTGGCGGGCTTTTTAACGGTTATATTAAATTGTTATTGTTTCGGTGGCTCCACTTGGCCACTGCTGCTTTGGAGAGAACAGAAAAAACTACCGCCACCGTATTGAAAATAACTTCATTTAGATGATAAATTTGGAAGCAAAAAAAAAACTCAGTTATTCTTCGTTCTGCTTCTTTTTTTCATTCTGTTCAAAGATTCTTATCGTTGACCGGAGACATGTGTACTTGGCCTTAAAATCAGCTCTGTGGGTCAACAAAACAGTGGTGTGCAAATTATACGGTAACACATAAGAAATTGGCAGCGGGAGGAATAAGTAATAAAAGGTTACAATGTGCTGAAAGGGGCAGGGGAATTAATTTTCCGAAATTTTCAGGGCGTGTAAAAGGTGCGATGACGGTTGTTTCTCTATAAAAAATATCAAGAACTTGTTCATATTACTACTACGCCAAAGGTCTCCTGTTCTACACAAGTGTCTTATGAAGGTCTCTTCTTATAAATGTCTCAAACGAAGGCCTCCCATTCTATATTCCTATTATAGGGAAAACTATTCCGGAGGCCTTTAACACCATAGAAGTATTCCACGGAGCTCCTCCATACAAGTCTCCTACTGAGATCTCCTAATCTATAGAAATCTCATACGGAGGTCTCCGATTCTATAGAAGTCTCCAACGGAGGTCTCCTATTCTATAGAAGTATACAGCGGAAGTCTCATATTCTATAGAAGCCTCCAACGAAAGTCTCCTATTCTATAGAAGTCTCCAACGGAGATCTCCTATTCTATTGAAGTCTCCTACGGAGGTCTCCTATTCTATAGAAGTCTCCTACGGAGGTCTCCTATTCTACAGAAGTCTCCAAAGGAGATAGAAGTCTCCAAAGGAGGTCTCCTCTTCCATAGAAGTCTCCTACGGAGGTCTCCCATTCTATAGAAGTCTCTACAAGGTCTCCCATTCTTGCCTCCTACGGAGGTTTCCATATAATAACCCTTCTGAAGTCTCCCACTATACAGAAGTCTCCTATTCTATAGAAGTCCCCAATGGTGGTCTCCTATTCTACAGAAGTCTCCAACGGTGGTCACATATTCTGCAGAAGTCTTCTACAAAGGTCTCCTATTCTATAGAAGTCTCCTACGGAGGTTTCCTATTATACAGATGTCTGTACGAATGTTTGCCCCTCTTCTGAAGTATCTCAGTAGTCTGCAGAAGTCACCTACGAATGTCTGCTATTTTATAGAAGTGTCTTACGGAGTTCTCCTACTCTATACAAGTCTCCTACGGAGGTCTCCTATTCTTTAGAAGTCTTCTATGGAGCTCATCCTATTCTCCAAAAGTCTCCTATGGAGGTCTCCTATTCTATGGAAATATCCAATTCGATAGAGGTCTCTAACGGAAAAGTTTTTTTCCGGAGGTCTCCTATTTTATACCTCCTACTGAGGTATCCAAGTCTATAGTAGTCCCTTACGGAAGTTTGTTCTTCTATAAAATACCCCTTCTGAAGTCCCCTACAGTAAACAAATTTTCTGCTGAGCTCATCTTATTACATAGAAGTCTCATACAGAGGTATCCTCTTCTATAGAAGTCCCTTACAGATGTTTGCTCTTCTGCTGAGCTCATCTTATTACATAGAATTCTCATACAGAGAATTTCTCTTTTAAATACTCCTCCTGAGGTATCCTACACTTTAGAGACCTACTTTTATTGTATATAGGGAATCTCCCAAAGAGCCCAAAACTATTCTGTATATTCTATAGAAAAAGTCTCCAAGGGAGCCCTTCAACTATTCCATAGAAATAGTCTCCAAGGGAACGTTTTTTCCCTTCTTCTACTCTATCTTCCAGGAGCCTTTCCCATATTTTGTAGAAAAAGCTTACGATTCTATAGAAAAAAGTCTCCACTTGAACATAATTCCATTCTATCTGTTCTCTATTGGAACTTTCCCTAATTAATAACCACAATTATTTACCTTAATTTCAGGTATCCTCTTGCTGCTAAGTCCCCTATGCTTGGTAAGTAAATCTCATGGAAAAAACCCGATCAATCAACTCACTATTCACAATCTCTCCCCCTTCCACTCCTATCTCATCCTAGGCTCAAAGTGGTTATCAATATGGACGAAATGATTTAAATGCCGGTGGTGTACCGGCCACAGTTGCATCACCACTTCGACCATTAACGGGTGGTTTTGGTGCTGCCTCAACTGCGGCGGCTGCTTTTCCCACGGCGGCTACAGCATTTGGACCCGGCACCACAATACCATCAGGACCGTTTGGTGGTTTCGGTACAACAGGACAAAATCAACGAGGCATCGGTGGTCTAACACCCACAGCTCAGACGGCATTTGGCAGTGCCGCCACAAATATTCCCAAACGACCAAATTTGGCACAACGTCCCACCGCCCCTGGAGCATCAGGTCCCGGTAGTATTTATGGACAAGCACAATTTGGTGGTAGTGCCACAGGACGTGGTGGCGGCAGCGGAGGAGGTGGTGCAGGTTCCGGTACTGGCTCCTCGGGACTTGGCGATGATTATGATGGAGATTATTCAGCCATCCCGGGTGTGCCTGGTGTCGATTATCCCATCTACAGTCAGGTGCCGCAAACAAATTTCGATTGTGCCCAGCAAGCATTGCCGGGTTATTATTCCGACATCGAAGCCCAGTGTCAAGTGTTTCACATTTGTGCCTTGAATCGTACCTATTCGTTCCTGTGTCCAAATGGTACCATTTTCAGTCAGGAGGTATTGGTTTGTGTATGGTGGAATCAATACGACTGTGCCTCGGCACCCAGCCTATATGCCAATAATGCTTTTATCTATGATTATGGCAACGAAAGGATACCCACCAATGCTGGGTATCAGCCTTCTGGGAATCAACAACAATTAGGAAGGGGTCAAACAGGAATTTTGGCTGCCAATGCAGGACGTCCAACGGCTACAGGTTCCAGTAACATTTTCAATCCACAACGTTTACAGCCAAGTGTAACGGGAGGTGGAGGTGGTGGTGTGGCCGTACAACCATCAGCCATAGCAGGGGTTCAAGGCGCAGGAGGTTTCGGTGGTGGTTCCAGCAATACAGGGCGCTTTGGCAGCGGCGGACAAAATCCCGGTGGACAAACATTTCCCGCAACACCCTCACCCTTTGGCTCAGTCTTACGTTCCGGCAGCACCACCGGTGGTGGCGGAGGAGGAGGCGGCGGCGTTGCCAATCCCACAGCCGTTGGAGGACCAACTGGAGGCGGTGGCAACTTTAATGCCAATGTTGGAGAAACTGCCTTTGGAAATGCTGCAATTGCTACTCCGACAACTAAAAATAGAGAATATTTGCCACCACCTGCCCGGCGCCAATAAATCGAAAGGAAACTGAACTTTTTTGCACGCCAACAGAAAATTGTAGATATTCTCAGTCCGCCCATTTTATATGACCTTAGGCTCTTGTACCCGGTTTAAATGTTCCTCGGCTTCCTGTGAAAATGAATTTGATTTTAGTGATTTTTTTCTTAGGTTAGTGAAATATTCACGATTTTTTTGTACGTACATCTGTGTGTATGTAAATTGTATGTAGTAGTTAGTTTTATAAATATCATCATCCACATCACCGATCGAAAATTATTTCCATTGTAGGCATGCCTCTCTATCCCACGCTCTCTGCATAGTTCATTTATTAAATAATCGATATTTTTGTATTATGTACCATATGAATATTATGTATACATATATGTACTATTTTTATACATAGCAAATAAAATATATTCAAATATTTTTTGGAATGCAAATGAAACTCTATTAATTTCGGACCAAGGTCTTGTATGCCTTAAGAAGTCTACTATGAAGTTAATTGATCTCTATAAAGACCAATTGGTCGGTATAGAGAACACTGGTTTTTATGGAAGCCAATTTACCGGTCCTTATACAGGCCAATTGGTCCGTATAGAGGCCAATTGGCCGGTACAGAGGCCACAGTTCTTATAGAGGCCAATTGACCGGCATAGAGACCACAGGTCTTTATAGAGGCCATTTGACATGTATAGAGATCACAGGTCTTTATATAAGCCAATTGGCCGGTATAGAGACAATAGGTCTTTATAGAGGCTAATTGGCCGGTTTAGAGACCACAGGTCTTTATGGAGGCCAATTGGGCGGTATAGAAACCACAGGACTTTATAGAGGCCAATTGGCCGGTATAGAGACCACAGGTCTTTATAGAAGCCATTTGACCTGTATAGAGACCACAGATCTTTATAGAGGCCAAATGGCCAGTATAGAGACCACTGGTCTTTACGGAGGTATTTCTATTATAAGGAAGAGTCTCATACGGATCTGATTATATTTTATAGACGTATTAATTTATTTCCTTTCCTCCTCTTCATCCGATTCCCATTCCAAATAGTTCACATCAATTACACGTTTCAAAATATCCATTTGTAATTTCAAAATATTTTGCACATTTCGGATACGTTGTGCTTTCAACCTATCGGCCTCATAGATATCATCCAACTTCTCCAAGACTTCCGTCGAAGTTTCATATGTCTCTTCTAGTTGCTGTAGTTTTTCATTGAAATTCTGTCTAAACGTTTTGAACTTTCTTTTCCTCTTGAAATATTGAAAAATCTCCAAATAGTTTTTAAATTCCATTTTCAAATATTCCCAATAGGATAAACGATATTCCCTCTTTTGATTATCTCTCTCCTCTCGGGCGGCAGCCAAATGATCGCAGATGAGTGTGATAAACATATTTATTAAAAATATGGCAACCACAAACATCAGGATGAGATATATGATAAAACCCAATATGTTACCACCATGCGATAGATCTTCGGGACGGGTATGGGAATTGAAACCAAATGAAAAACTCATAATTGAGGTTAAACTTTTGAGATAGCGGGAAAATGCTTCCGCCTGACTGCCATTCACAATTTCGGCAGCAAAGCCAATGGCAAAGAGGAAGATGTGAATACCCAACAGGGTGGTAATTAAGCTACCGGCAGCAGAGTATAGGGTCCTGGTGAATAGACGGAATACACTGGCAAATTGTAAAATTTTCCAAAGCCTTAAAGTGGTTAGGGCCACCAAAAATCCTATTGCCACGGTGGCCATGTAATCCACCAAATTGGCATGGCGGAAATCAAGATGTTCCAATTTGTGGGAAGATATGAGGGCCAGAAGCAAAGCTTTTACCAAAAATTCGCGGATGAGTAGTAATGCGGTTATAATAACGTTTAATAAGATTATTACGAGATCCACACAATTCCATGAAGAGTGAAAAAATCCGCCAACTCCCTCTTCCGTACACCACCACCATTTCAAAAAAAGGACGTTTGAAAATTCAATCAATTGTAAAGTGTAAATAATTATCAGCAAACACCACCAGCAAGATAATTGATCCACATTTGTTAACAAGGCCACAGATTGCACCTTGAAGTTCCAAATTACCCCACCAAAGGGTGTTTGTTCCGCCATTAAGGATATCAAACTAAAAATGTTGCCATCTGCACTGTATAGAGTAAAATCAATGAGAACCATCAACGTGCGATCATCCAACCAGGAATTCTCCTTCAGAAATTTCAAAATTTTGGCATTATTTGTAGAATCTCTTGCCAAAAAGGCGACATAGGCATTATCTTCCGAATAGGGGCCATACAAAGAACCAATATGTGTCAAGGCAAATAACCAATTGACCATATGTTTAGAAGTTTTCCTCATCCAGGGATAATAAATTCTCCAGAATTTATCCACATAATAATAACTTCGATCCAATGGCTTCCATTGGGGTAAATAATCGCCTTGGTAAACTTTTAAATCCCGCATGCCATTCGTTTTATCCCTTACGCGTATTTGTTGAATGCGTACCACTCCCAACAGCTTAGCAATTTCAAAATCCATCCAACCATATTCCGCCAATGGTATACCTCTATAATCCACGCCCTGGCAAAGGGCACCGGACATGGTTACATTCAATACTTCATATAAATCCTCAAGGGTACGCATTTGTTGCACCCCCATGGCACCAAGGCGATTCTCCAAGAAGATTGTTTTCATTAGCTTGGTATTATAATACGCCATCGAATAGCGGGAATAGACAATCATGAGAAGTAATACGAAAAAATATCTTCCAAATAACCACAAATCCTTTGTCAAATGGTAATATTCCAGATTCAAAGATTCATTTTTGTGTTCCTCAGGTAAATAGAAATCAGCTTTCGAAGATTTCAAACGCAATTTTAAATATTCCAAGGGATTCATTTTCCATTCCATATTTTCTTGGGGTAGCGGATATGTTTTATTGTAATTTTTCTTAAAGGTTGTTTCATACAGTGCGGTGATGACAGCCTCAACGTGGTCCCACAGCAGGAAACGTAAAAATTGCCCAATAATTATGGTGATTAAAATTTGCTTGAATTTCTTCGTTTCATGTCGGTAGCCTGAGAACTGTGTTATTAGAACAAGGCAGAGGATAGCTAATCCCGTGCCAAGGAAGAAACTGTACTTTAAGAACTTTTTCACATTTCCCATTGTAGTGTGAACTATTATTTGAAATTATACTGATAGGGTGCCAGAAAATTTGTATTGAAAATATTCTCAAACTATTTTTTACTTAGTTTGAGAATATTTTTAATACAAACTTTCCACCACCCTATGAGTATAATTTTAAATCATATTTCACACAACAGGTCTTTATAAAGACCAATTGGTCTGTGTAGAGACCAAAGGTCTTTATAAAGACCAATTGGTCTGTATAGGGACCACAGGTCTTTATAAAGACCAATTGGTCTGTATAGGGACCACAGGTCTTTATAAAGTCCAATTGGTCTGTATAGGACAACAGGTCTTTATAAAGGGGTTTAAAATGAGCAAAGAGAGACCTTATACCAAAAAGTTTCATATTATATCGATGGTGAAATTAGAAATTACTTACCACTTTGAATCCATTCGCATCAAGTTTATGACTCAAACATCGGTCATCCTGTCTGTCCACGGAAGTTATATGTCTGCAAAGCACCTTTCTTTTGATTTAAATTTCTTAACATTTAATTTATTAATAATGTTAATAATGTTCGGAAACGAACATGATCTAACGACGATTTGTTTTTAATTTAAAATGCAAAGCTGGCCAACAAAACTGACGCCGTAATATTACACGAGCAGCAGAAGAGAGAGAGAGAGATCGATAATATCATTGGAGAAACCATCGATATATTTAACTATCAGTTGATTTTATTTATTTAATTATTTTATTTTTTTTATTTTTCAATATATAATGTTTCAATTATTCAAGATTGCCTGGGATATTGGGAAAACGTTTAAAGTTTTTTTTTTCATTTGTAAATATTTCGTTAACCTACTTAAAGTTCATTATCGGCCATTTTGTTTTCTCCCCCATTCGTTAGCAAGTGGAACGTTTCTCAATTTTTCTTGTTTGCAAACACAACAAAAACCGTTAGCTTTTCATACTAAACTATCAAACAAGCGAGTCATTCAGTCGAAAAAATTAGATTTTTTTTCAATTTCTTTAGATTTTTACCTAAAAGAAAATGACAAATGGAAATATGGACAAAACCAATTGGATTATGCACTGGAGAAATTTGAATCGAAATGCTCGTGATGGTATCAATAAACGCAAGGGTAAAGAGGAAAAGAAACCCAACGACATGACTATCCCGAAAAATGTCCCACAACTGGGAACTAACCCCTCCATACAACCCGTAAAGACAGGAACAGTAAAAACCACCAAAGCTCTGGCAGCTGAACAAATGAAAAAAGGCCTGGAAACAAAAATCGGTGAGGGCAACAAAGGCTATGAATTGCTCAAGAAAATGGGCTACGAAGATGGACAAAGTTTGGGTAAAGATAATACTGGGATATTACAACCATTGAAATTGGAATTGAAAAACGATCGTAAAGGTTTGGGAGCCGTAGCAACGGCGGCCCAAAATTCAAAGCAAACAAAACTGCTAGCATCACAAACAATGAAAATACAAGCAGTGGTTCCCACTATTTCACCCACCCAGGCAACACTTGTAAAGCAGGAAGATGCAGCAAAAGCAACAATCAGTTCAATGGTTCAGCATATTAAAAAAGAATTATCAGGAAATCCAAATACATCAATGATTAACACAACCTCAAGTCGTGTTGCTGAATCAATCAATCCCGACAAGAAGAAATCACCATTGCAGCTGCTTATAGAATCGTATAGTTTTAATGATCCGAAATTTTTAATGGTAAGATAAGAAATTTCTAATTTTTTAAATTTGTCACTTCTAAATTATCTGCCGATTTAGCCAAGGCCGTCCTTATGGGTGTTGAAATCATAATAAAGATCCCAATATATAAGTTGAGGCTTGTACATTTTGCACATAGTTTAATATTGGTCCACATTTTGATATAGCTCCATAGAATGGATTTAACCACACTTCCAAGCAATTGAGGCTGTAACTTGCCATTGCTTAACAAGACTCTAATAGTGGATTTTTTTTAAGTAATATTTTTATGATTCCTGATAGTGTATATTTTAAAGAATTTTTTATATTGGATTTTGAAATATTTTTTTTTTAAGAATCCTAAGAGTGCACCTTAAGCTTGGAATTTTTAATGAAGAATTTTGAGGGGTCCGTCTAAAGCGTGAGTTTTTTTATAAACTATTTCTGAGTTGTCCGCCTTAAGCGTGGATTTTAAAGGGATTTTGATTTATAAAGAAAATTTTCCAATGACTACCCGAACAATAGACGTCACGGACTAATGGAACTATAAGCATAGATTTTTAAGGTCTATTTTGCAAATACTAACCGATCAATAAGCATGGATTTTTTAAAACATATTTTTCAAGGACTATCCCAGTTATAATCGAAGATCTTTTTAATTTATATTTTTCAAGAGCTATTCGAGCTGCATGGTTGGATTTTTTAATTACTATTTTCCAGGACAATTCGAGCTGGTAGGGTTGAATTTTTTAATTAATGTTTTTCAAGGACTATCCGAACTATTAGCATGTTTTTCTCTTAAATTATTGTTCAAGAACTAACCCAGCTATAAGCGTGGATTTTTTATATAATATATTTCAATCACTATCCGAATTATGAACGTGAAATTTTTAAAAAATAATTTTTAAGAACTATAGATGTGGATTTTTTAATTAATATTTTTCAGAGACTAACCGAGCTATAAGCATGGATATTTTAATAATTATTTTTCAAGGACTAACCCAGCTATAAGCGTGGATTTTTTACATAATATTTGTCAGAGATTATTCCACCTAAAACCGTGGATTTTGTAGAATATCTTTCAAGACCTATACAAATTATAACAGTGCATTTTTAAATATAATATTTTTTTAGGAAATATCCGAGCTATAAGCGTGATTTTTTTAAATTAATATTTTTCAAGGACGATCCCAGCTATAAGGTTGGAATTTTAGTTAATATTTTTAATGGACTAAGGGTGGATTTTAAAGAATAATTTTCAAAACCTGTCCGAGCTAAAAGCAGGGAGTTTTGTAAAGAATAGTTTTCAAGAATTATCCGAGCTTTTTTCAATTGTTTGTTTTTAAGAATTATCCGGGCTATAAAAAATTTAGCCTGTGGATTTATTACTCAATATTATTCAAAGACTAAGACTGTTATCCAAGCTATAAAGTGGATTATTTAAAGAATATTTTTCCAGGACTATCCAAATTTTAGGCGTGGATTTTTTAAGAATACTTTTCAGGGGATGTCCCAACTATACGCGTAGGTTATTTTAAAGAATAATTTTCAAGGACTATCCGAACTATAGACGTTAGTTAAGGAAGAACGAGGATTTTTTAAATGATATTGTTTAAGGAGGATTACTATCCAAACTATAAACCTGGATTTTTTAATTAATATTTTTAAACGGCTGTGTGAATTTTTTACCGAACTATAAGCGTGACTTTTTAATAAATATTTTTTCAGGGACTATTCGAGTTATATGGATGGACTTTTTAAAGAATATTTTTTTAAGGACTATCCGAGCTAAGATGGTGGATGTTTTAAATAATATTTTTCAAGGACTATCCGAGATGAGGGAGTGGATTTTTAATTAAAATTTTAGAGGACTATTTGAGCTAAAAGCAGGAATTTTTAAAGGATATCGTTTGAAGAATATTTTGTAAAATATAAACATGGATTTTTTAATTATATTTCCAGAACTATTCTTGCTATAAGCGTTCATTTTTTAATTAATATTTTTCAAAGTCTATCAGAGCTATAATAAAATATTTTTTAATTTTTATTTTTCAAAGACTATATAGGATTTGTAATTAATATTTGTCAATATTTGAAAAAAGTTCGGCTTGGCAGAACATATCTACGTTGTTTTTTTTTAATAACCCTGTCTTCTCTTTTTTCTTGCAGAAAATCTTCGATGACTATTTTTCAAAAATAGAATTAATGCAATTACGACTGGAAACGGCAGCCTGTAATCTACCGCCAGACAATGACAATGAAATTATTGTAACAAAAATTCAAATTGCTACCACCACCACCACTACTACTCCTACAACTGATGATACTAATGAACTGATCAAATTAAAACACATTGAATTTTTACGTGCCGAACTTGTCGGTTGGATTGGCGCATATCAAGAACAGGATTTAGCCACTCCCATTTTCCATAATATTATGCCATTTGAAAAATATATTAGTATAATATGTGAAAATGCATACGCATATGAATGTCTGCAGCAATGTATCGAGGAAATCAATCAAACCGACGATAAAACAAAATTCAAATTAACACGTTTGCCGTATATCTCATCGGTTATATATTGTTTTGATGCCATCTATGAGGGTGTCGTAGCCGATCCGGATTTATTTTTGATACAAATACAAAAGCACAAACCGAAATTACGCATCGAACATTGGATGATCATTAAACATGAAGTATTTGCTGTGGAACGTCGTACCTATTTTATGTTTTTAATTGATGAACGTTCGGCATTGGCGTTGCAATTCGAATATAACAGTAATTGTTGTATTTGTTTGCAAAATCTACTGTTTCGCAATCGTGGTGTTGTTGCTGATGAATGATTGAATGACGTTTTAACAGAATGACATTAATATGAAGAAGTGTGCGGTAAGTAGGCACACACTTTCGTTTCTTTATGAATAAGTATTTTTGTCTGTTTTAATCTAATTTGATATATTCGGCTGGAAGAACCGTATAAATTTTCGTTATTTTTTATATTATTTGATTTTTTTGTAATTTTCTTGTTTATGAAGTAATTCTGAAAATACAAATATTCTTTTTGTATAACTATAGTAATGATGAGTTTCTTTCCAATACAAATTGAAATTGAAATTAAATAGAAGCTTTTCCTATGTGTATAGAATATCTATAAACAGTGATCTGTGTGTAGATTTTCCTGTCTATATAGAATGCCTTTAATTCAAGGACGATCAGAACTGTAGGGGTGGATATTTAATTAATATTATCCGAGCTGTGAGCGTGGATTTTTTAATTAATATTAACTGTCCAAGTTAATACTATTCTAGGTTTATCTGAGCTATAAACTAAATTTTGTAAAGGTCTTTTTTCCAAGGAGTATTCGAGCTGTAACTTTGGATTTTTTAAAGAGCTGGAAGCGTGAATATTTTAATAATTATTATTCAAGTGCTAACCCAGCTATGAGCGTCGATTTTTAATTAATATATTTCAAGGACTATTCGAGCTTAAAACATAGATATTTAAATAAATATTTTTCAAGCACTATACGTGATGTAATCGTGGATTTTTGGATAACTATCCAAACTGTAAGCGTTGATTTGTTAAAGAATATTTTTTAAGGACTAACCAAAATATAATTTTTAACGACTATCCAAAATATAAGCGAGGGTTTTTTTAAAGAATATTTTCAAGGTCTGACCCTATTATAAGCGTGAATTGTTTAAAGAATATTTTCCAAGGAATATCCAAACTATAAGCGTGGATTTTTTACTCAATATTTTTCCAAGACTATCCAAGCTATAAAGTGGATTTTTTAAAGAATATTTTTCCAGGACTATCCAAATTATAGGTGTGGATTTTTTTAAGAATACTTTTCAAGGACTGTCCCTACTATAAGTGTAGATTTTTTAAGGAACACTTTTCAAGGACTATCCAAACTATAGGCGCATTATTATTAAAAGAATATTTTTAGGGACTATCCAAACTATAAACGTGGACTTTTTAAAGATTATTTTTCAAGGACTTTGCAAACTAGAAGAGTGGTTTTTTAAAGAATATTTTACGAAGGACTATCCGAGCTATGATTGTGGATTTTTTAAAGAATATTTTTCAGGACTATCCAAACTATATACGTGGATTTTTCAGCGACTTTCAGAAGTATAACAGTGGATTGTTTTAAAGAATATTTTTCAAGAACTTGGTATAGAATATGTTTTTGAGGTGCCCATCTTAATAGTGGATTTATAATAAATTTTTAGCTTTAAAATCTTATACATATAGAATATTTTCAGACAGTCTTCTGCTGCCTATTTAAGAATTACAGAATATAATCTGTTTTTTAGAAAACCTTCTATGTATATAAAATCTGGGAGAAAAACATAAATGAGGACTTCTGCCTAAAAAAATGATTTCTGCGACCTTTAATTTCATTTATTTCATACAATGTAATATAAAAAAGCCAGCATGGCCTTCTGTATCTTAAAGACTATTATGATTTTTTCTATGTTTTTTTCCTTTCAAGTAATTTCAGATTAATTTATCTACAAATGCCCTTCCCTTTTTATATTCTCAAAGTGTTTAACAATTATTTTTATTGTACTAAATTTGTGGTTCCATTTATTATTTACAGTTCTTTAACTCTGTATAAAAATCAAATGTTGTTGCCGCCTTCACATTTGAGGTTTCCTTAACTAAATTACTTTTTAACATTTGCTTGTAGAAAGGTTTAAAATCTCCGCTCAAATATTGATGTGGGCCCTTTTTGATTTTTGGTTCACATGGTCGGGGTACTGGAATTGTGGGATTAAATGCCATCTGGGTGCTATCGAATTGTTCAAACAATTCCATGGCGGTTCTAAGAAAAAAAAAAAAAAACAAAAACAATTTGAATTAGATTTGTTTTTTACATTTAAAAATGTATTTAGTATACTTACAATTTACCAATTTCCGAAGGCAGTGAACCCTCTCCAGAAGCCGGTACACCATTTGCAATATGTGTCGACATTTTACGTACAATCGGATGATAATGCCTTTGCAACATTGTCAATTCATATAGCGCCGTACATGAGGCATTACAATATTCTGGATCTTCCAACGTTGGATCATATTTTCCCGAACCTATACTATCATCCGTATCCAACAAAATATCCAAAACTGATGTCAATTGGAAGGTTGTTTTAATTGTACCCAATGTAGCTAGGGTACCATGATGCAATAGATTCAAACCGACCGTCAATAAACGTTTAATAAAAGCCATTAATCGCTGTTGACTCATATTGCGTCGCCGCTTGACCAATACCTCATCCAATGTTTGTAGAATTATACGAAAATCATCATGATTTTTACCCGCATGTACTGCCAACATATTTCTATAGAAATGTTGATAGAAGCGTATGGGATCTATGTTTAGCACCTCACCCTGGCCGGATAGAATTACAAAAATTGTTTTGATACAATGCAATTGTTCGCGATAACCCAAATCTTCTTGGGTCTCCAAAATGTTGTTCAGAACTTCAATTAAATCCGAGAAGAAATCCAAATTGATGACATGGGCAAATCTGTAAGGAAGAAAAAGGGATTAATTTTGAACTCATTTAAAAAGGGTTCTCATTCCAACTTACTCTGCCAAACCCTCGAGAATGGCACTCAGTACACGGGAAGTGGGATCATTTTTCAAAACACGGAAATAAATGGTGAACAACATTTTCACAATTTCCGTCAGCTTGGCATGTTTGGTTTGTTTATTTTCCTCGGCCCTTGTCTCATCCAATTCCTTATTCAGTTCAGCCAATTTCTTACGCCTCTTACGTTCCTTTTTCGACAAACTCAATAGCCGTTGGCGATGTGCCTCCAATTTCTTTTGTTTCAATTCATTTTCCTTCTCCGCATCCAAATTGACATTTTTAATCTTGAGAGCCATCAAACATGTGATGCATTCCAAATGTACAACATTATTTCGACTTTTAATCAAGTGGTTTATACGCCGTATTATGAACAAGGTCATATCCATTTTCTTGTCATTGGCAAAAACGTAACGGAAGCAATTGTGTACCGTCTCACGCATCTTGGGATAATTCGAATTCAACATGTACACCAAAAGCTGGGCAATGTTCTTGACATAATTGAAATATGGATGAGCCATTAGCAGATCACTCATACTTTGCACAGCCACCTCGGCCATTTTCACCGATTGCGGAGTAACACGACCATTACCTTTACGATTTACTGCGGCTGTGAGTTTTTCCAAACGTTGTAGGAATTTTTTGAAATGTTGCAGCAGAGCATTTTCAAATGTTACTCTCTCCAAGGTGGCTTTGCGAACCGTTTGCATTTTTGTATCCACCTGACCGACACGATATTCGGGTAGAATATCTTTGAAAATTTCTGTTAACGATACAATGGCCACTTTACGCACGGTCAGCAAATTGGGAACGCCAGCCTTGTTGGTTTCATCCATTAACTCAAACAAGGCATTGAAGTTTCGCATTTTATCTTCTGGTTTTTCCAAAATACCCGAACAAATAATACCGATGCGGTATTTTTGTCTTTCGATTTCCTGTTGGCGGGCAATCAGCAAATCTGTGGTGGAAACCATTTTCTTTTCGGCCACCTTTTTAATGGCATTGGTGTCGTCTTCATCGTTGACCACATCATCATCACTGTCTTCGTATTCAATGTCGGCAGTGTCATCTTCCTCATCATCTCCTTCACCTTCTCCCCCTTCCGCACCCTCTTCACCTTCTTCCTCCTCACCTACTTCGGTGGCTTTCTTGGCCTTTGGCTTCGGTTTATAATCAACCTGTGTTGAACGCGTTATAATTTCACCCTCTCTCGTCTTTACCGGCAACAAATCAACAGTTATTTTCTTGGTAGCATCCTCCAGGGCGGTTTCATGGGCAAATTGTTTTTCCAAACCCACAGCATGTTTAATATCATCATCATCGGCCTCTTCACCGGTGACATGTTTACGTTTCCTATTTCTACCCTTTTTCAAATTCAAATATTCCAAATCCTCGCCGTCTAACATATCGGCCACATTATCCAAAAGCTCATCCTCATCCAATTCTTCATCATGGTCCACCTCGGGCAAACCCATGGCGGAGCGTTTATTTTGTTTCTTCCGTTGAAAGACTTCATCCTTCTTGTGGGCCTTTTGTATGAAAATATTTTGACCACGTTCCTTGGCCGACTTTTGTTGGGCCAACTTTTGCTGCTGTTGTTTGGTCAACGGAGCCTTCCTCTGCTTGAGATGAGCGGCACGTTTCACCGCTGAGATTTTCACTTTTTTCTGCAAGACACGTTTGGAAAAAATTAGATAATTTTAATTGTAAAATATATTGACTACTTACCGTTCCCATTTTGGTTCCAAATTATCTGGGTTTTAATTATTTTTATTCAATTTTATTAAAATTGTAATCCTATCAATTCCAATCCAAAAACGAAAACAAATGAAATGACAGCTCTTGTAGCACATGTGGAGGTAGTAATGACATGCAATGTGTTTACATTGAACTAACAGTGCGACCTAATTTAAAAGCGACTTGTGGCAGTGGATACATATGCTGGGGAAATTATAGCAGATTTTTTTAAAGAATATTTTTGAGGGTCCCAAGCTTGTGGTTTAAATAAAATTGTTGGGGAGTTATAAATATAAAGGGTAGAATTTTTGAAAAGTTTCTAAATTGATATTTATTGAGTAAGAGTAGTCCTAATCGCAAAATTTCCAATAATGATTTGGAAATAAACTTCTATAGACATATTAAAAAAAAAAATCAAGCCTTTTGATCACTATAAAAATCTTCATTGGTTGGGTCTATAAAACACTCAAGGAACGATTTTTGTTTAGAACATTTGTGCAAGGTCTATGGTCTTCAAAAGATCTGTGAGAGGTCTTCTGTCTATAGAAAACATGTCCTTTGACTATAGAACACCTGTGGAATGTCCTTTGTCTATAAAAGATCTGTGGAATATGTTTAGTCTACATAAGAGCTACGGAAGGTCTTTTGACTATATAAGACATTTGGAATTTTAAAGGAAAAACTTAATTTAAAAGTCGCACACCTGTCATAGTAGTAGCAAATATTTCTTAACGTAATGCCTTACAAGGATGATACAATGATTTTAGACACCCTTTAGCGTTTCGATTATATTTAAGAGGTATAATTTATCATTTTTTTCAATATAGGCATCAATTTCGGTGAAAACATCTTCATTCGATGGAAATTGTTTTTCGAGGGGGGTTTGTTTTCTGATGCAAGAAGAGAAAATAGTTTCTTTAGTCAATATCATATCGCTGCAGGGTAATGAACTGATTTTAGCGATTCCTTTAATTTTTCTATTTCTTTGTTGTAGTACACCGGGAATATATTTCCCCGTCGAACATGGTTTTGTAATGTTGAACATAAAATAGTCGCTTGGGCAACCGTGTGCTTATATTTGGGAGATCGTTGCTACTAATGCAATATCTTTATCAGATGGCACTATTTGGATTCTTCAAATAAACTCCAATAAAGGTGACATGAATATGATATCTTTTTTTGTTTTCTCATAAAAGTCTAGTTAGTCTTCTCATGGAAGACAAGCAGGTTGATCCAGTTAACAAATCCAGTGGATTATATTTGACGTTTACGCTATGGAATTGGCATTTGAGATCGAGTGGATCTCGTAAATTTAAACGTACATTTATACAATCCGTTTAATAGGCCTTAAAAATGATTTGGAAATAAACTTCTATAGACATATTAAAAAAAAAATCAAGCCTTTTGATCACTATAAAAATCTTCATTGGTTGGGTCTATAAAACACTCAAGGAACGATTTTTGTTTAGAACATTTGTGCAAGGTCTATGGTCTTCAAAAGATCTGTGAGAGGTCTTCTGTCTATAGAAAACATGTCCTTTGACTATAGAACACCTGTGGAATGTCCTTTGTCTATAAAAGATCTGTGGAATATGTTTAGTCTACATAAGAGCTACGGAAGGTCTTTTGACTATATAAGACATTTGGAATTTTAAAGGAAAAACTTAATTTAAAAGTCGCACACCTGTTATAGTAGTAGCAAATATTTCTTAACGTAATGCCTTACAAGGATGATACAATGATTTTAGACACCCTTTAGCGTTTCGATTATATTTAAGAGGTATAATTTATCATTTTTTTCAATATAGGCATCAATTTCGGTGAAAACATCTTCATTCGATGGAAATTGTTTTTCGAGGGGGGTTTGTTTTCTGATGCAAGAAGAGAAAATAGTTTCTTTAGTCAATATCATATCGCTGCAGGGTAATGAACTGATTTTAGCGATTCCTTTAATTTTTCTATTTCTTTGTTGTAGTACACCGGGAATATATTTCCCCGTCGAACATGGTTTTGTAATGTTGAACATAAAATAGTCGCTTGGGCAACCGTGTGCTTATATTTGGGAGATCGTTGCTACTAATGCAATATCTTTATCAGATGGCACTATTTGGATTCTTCAAATAAACTCCAATAAAGGTGACATGAATATGATATCTTTTTTTGTTTTCTCATAAAAGTCTAGTTAGTCTTCTCATGGAAGACAAGCAGGTTGATCCAGTTAACAAATCCAGTGGATTATATTTGACGTTTACGCTATGGAATTGGCATTTGAGATCGAGTGGATCTCGTAAATTTAAACGTACATTTATACAATCCGTTTAATAGGCCTTAAAATTGAACGGGTTTTTCTTCAAATCGATAGTACTTCTCAAATTACATTTGCCACTTGAAGCCGATTTATCGATTAGTAAAAAATCGACTTACATATCCCTAACTATTCAATACGGCAAACGACCATAGAATAAAAAAAAAACTAAACTACAGCGCGTCTTAATAAAAAAGATAAAATAATAGTAATTTTTCAAGGAATATCAAAGCAAAATGGGTCGTCGTAAATCAAAAAGAAAGCCACCACCAAAGCGAAAAAATATCGAACCACTGGATCAACAATTCAATTGCCCCTTCTGTAATCATGAACTGTCGTGCGAAGTGAAAATGGACAAGACCCGAAATACGGCCAAAATAAGCTGTCGCATTTGCCTCGAAGAATATCAGACGACAATTAATTTCCTGTCGGAACCTCTGGATGTGTACAATGATTGGGTGGACGCTTGCGAGAGTGCAAATTAATTAGGCACAACAACAATCACAAGTTATGGGACTAAACTCAGAACGATCTTTTAATTTCTCCCAATGGTCTTTTTTCAATTGGAGGAATTTACATACGTACAGTGTAACAAGATTTAATAAGTAGCATTAAAATACATGTATTTTTTATTAAATATATATATAAATATAATAATCATTTATAGTTTATTGTAAATCTCAAATGTGTTTTGGGTTTTTGTGTTATTGTTGTAATATTTAGTTGTATTTCGTTGCCTCTACAGGTTTGACTTTCATCTTAATGTATCTCCTCCAAACTTGCCATGTGGCGACAGGTGTCCAGATGTTCCATGTAAATACATTATTTTCAAAAAAAAAAGTAGAAAGCATTTAGGACAAGGTATAGAATACCTTTAGGGTTTACTATATAATCACACTTTGTATTGACCACTAGTCCTTTCTATAGACGTTCATGGAGTCAACTTATTGGATGCAAGTATGTCGGCTGATGGAATATTATTAGGACTTGTACAAGAATATTAATTGTTATATTAGGTTATTACAGTTACAGAAAATTTACGGGAGTTCCTTATAGAGTACCGACATTTTTTTTGCAGCTGTTCCCTGCAACATACAGTTATGACTTATAGAAGGATGAGTTCTTATAGAAAAATAGTTCTTGTTGGCAACAGTTTATGAAGCGGAATCCGTGCAACTATTAAAAAATAGCAACAACCATACCGGTGCCGGACCAACAGCTTTTGTAAAAAAAATAGTTTATTTGTTGACTTAGCTATTGCTGTTCTATTTTGTGGCCTCTATGGTTTCCTCAGCATTGACAATAATACGAAAATGGATGTGCCTCCCAGTAGCCATAACGATTAGCTTCCTCCGCCATCAGTTCAACACCTTTGTGTGACAAGTTTCTCAATTCATATAGGCTGAGAGTAAAATCACTGGGTCGGATATTAGAGGTCCTGAGAAGAGATTTGAGTTCATTTGCTGTGTCGAACGCATCAGTGACAAAACAACGAACATCAGATCGAAGCATTGACCACATGTAAAAATTTCAAAACGATCCGGGAGGGGGCCCTAAACTAGACTTAAGCCAAAGGACGTCTTCTTATAGAATACATAAGGTATTTTTATTACAAATTAGTTATTCTCAAAGAAGTGACACGGAGAAGGTCATGAAGTCATTACATACAAAATAAAATGCTATGAGGACTTCAAATAGAAATCCAATAAGTTATTTCGACATTTCTGTGAATCATTCTTCTTAGAGAATATGCTCAAAATATAGCTTTATATTTTGACATAGCCATCATATAATTTTCTTTCTTCTTCTTAACCGCTCTAATGATTTCAGGTAGCGCCTTTTCCCAAATTAACTCTACATTTTTTCGATACATGGGCCCTACCTTTCATTTCTTTTATTTTCCGCATTTCAAAATATACGCTACGTCGAAATACCTTATTACGTTACATTCATTCTCTAATAGCACCCCTGCGTCGTGTGAACCCTGCTTAAGATTCGATGTGCACTAAACTTTCCAACATTTATGAATCACCTTGTTTGCAAAAAATGAATGTTTACAAATACAATTAAACAAAGACCTCCGCGACACAAAGCGATAAGAATAATAGTGACTCAAATTAAATTAAAAAAAGAACGAAACAATTATTACATAGAACCCCCCTTTTGTGTATACAAAATTTCATTTTTGTTTTCTCATTTTTAATAACAACAATGAAAATCTAAATAAATATTCACATAACTGTTCATAATCAAGATATTGATAGTGTTGCAAACAAAAAGACGTCCTTGCTGGTTTACCACATCCACATCCCATCGGATAGATAGATGACACACAAACCACAACAACAACTAAAAAAATTAATAACAAAAACCTCAATTTTCAATTTCTCAGTACTGTTTTTATTTGCAAAACAAAGAGATTTGTATGGGCCTACAAGCTCTCAACGTTTATGATGGTGGTCAATAACAACAACAAATATAGAGGAGCCTACTTCTTTACTCAGTATTATTGTTATTTATTTAATCGGGTTCTCGACGGCGGCAGCAGCAGCCTCAGCAGCGTTAACAGTAACAACAAGTAGTCTGTATGTACTACTCGACTAAGCAAATGTATCGAATAAACCCCAAGATTATGAGTTCAGCTGCTGGCAGATAAAGAAAGACTGGAACAATTTTGTTTATTTCGCGTTCGATTTTTTTCGCTATGTGTATACAAAAAGACGTCTAAGTACATATCAGTCAACCAGTAGTCGGTAATAGCTAGCCAATCACACTGTCAGTCAGCCCGTCGTTTAGTCAGTTGGTGTTGTATGTATGCATGTACGCTATATTCATATAAACTTGCAACCTTTGGTTTGATCTTTAAACTAATTTTTGCGCAATAATAATCTTACACGGCAGTTATTATATGGTTCTCATTTATTTGTGCTGTTTGGTGTCGGAACTGGTCAGTCGTGTGTCGCATGTTGTTGTTGTCGTCATCGTCGTCGCCGTTGTTTCCTGCCACCGCTCTGCTACTGCTACTGAAGTTCTGAAATCCAAACGATCGACGATCGATCGAGCTCTCCTCCAGCAGGCTACTTAATGTTTCAGTTAGCGGTGGGTGGTGAACGGGTCAAGTAGTGCGCTCTGGTCGTTGTCGTTTCGAAGTGTGGTGCGTAGAATAAGAAGAATAAAACGAAAAAAACTGCAAGAAACATAAACAAAAGATTGATTGAACACCAACCAACCAACCAAATAAAAAAAACGGTAGAATACAAAAAAGCAAGAAGACAAAAAAATAAATAAATAAGAAAATAAAACAACTGCAACGAGGAACTTACTTGCCTTACATTTTGGTGGTGGGACTGGTTTCTAGTTGGGGATTTCATCAACGGAAACAACAACGAAATATTGCAACATATTGTAGATTTACAGACAACAAAACCAACAACGCCAAATTGCTTCTAAACGAAACGAACACGCAAAGTGATCACAACAAATAAATAAAAAAAAACCAAAATGGCTGTGTTTTCGAAATTCTCCGACAAAATTGATCAACTGGGTCTTCCAAAACCCGTCATAACCCATGCCCTCGTGGGTGCTGCCATCATGGCCTGGTCCCTTAAAATGGCTGTGCCATTGTTGACCAAAAACAAAAACCGCAAACAAGACAAATCCAAAAAGATTGTCTTCCAGAGCCAGGAAAGCGATGAGGAGGAAAGTAAATTGGCCGAAGCCGAAAAGCTGTTGGTCGCCCAAAATCAAAAGAACAAAAAAGCCCAAGAGCCCGGCCTAAACAAAGAGTTCTTCAAACAGCTGTCACAAATGATTAAAATTATGATTCCACAACCTTTCAGCTATGAGACAGGTTTACTGGGAGTCCACACACTGTGCCTGATATCACGTACCTTCCTTAGTATTTATGTGGCCCAGCTTGAGGGTACCATTGTCAAGTACATTGTACGCAAGGATGTTAAGAAGTTCAGTTTGCTGCTACTAAAATGGTTCGGCATTGCCATACCCGCCACCTTTGTCAATTCCATGATTCGTTTCCTGGAAAGTAAATTGGCCTTGGCATTCCGTACCCGGCTGGTGCGTCACGCCTATCGTTTGTATTTCAAAAATCAAAATTACTATCGTGTCTCAAATTTGGATGGCCGCATTGAGAATGCCGATCATCGTCTGACCGAGGACATTAATGTCTTTGCCACATCTATTGCCCATTTGTATGGTAGTGTGACGAAACCATGCTTTGATCTGATGTTGATTGGTTTGTCATTGATGCGTTCCACACAGAAAATGGACTCAAATATCTTCTCAGGACCATTACTGTCTGGCTCTGTGATTTTACTCTCAGCCTATATTATGAGAACATTGTCTCCCAAATTTGGTCAATTGGTGGCGGAGGAAGCCAATCGTTATGGCTACCTGAGACACATCCATTCACGTATTATTACCAATGCTGAGGAAATTGCCTTCTACGGTGGCCACAAAGTGGAACTGCAACAGCTCAGACATGCCTACAATCGTCTGGTCAAACAGATGAACAACATCTTCGTACAAAAACTGTGGTTTGTCATGCTGGAACAGTTCTTTATGAAATATGTGTGGTCCGGTACCGGTATGGTTATGGTATCGTTGCCAATTTTGACTGGTTCCACGGGTTCGGCTGCTGCCGCATCCACCATTGCCACCAAGGACTCTTTGGTCAGTGAACGTACCCAATATTTGACCACGGCCCGTAATTTGCTCATCTCCGCCTCCGATGCCATTGAACGTTTAATGTCTTCCTACAAAGAAATAGTGGCCTTGGCCGGTTACACCAGCCGTGTGGCCGGTATGTTTGAGGTATTCGAACAAACTGCCCAGGGTGTTTACAATAAGAACACCGTGGCCAAGAGTAATGAATCGGCAAGTATAATTGAATTCCGCAATGGTTTGCCGGTGGCCAAGGGCCGTATTGTCTACACCAGTCCAGATAGTACCTCCATTTCGCTGCGCGCCGTACCTGTGGTAACGCCCAACTGTGATGTTGTGGTGCCTTGTTTGAATTTGGACATTGAACCCGGCATGCATTTGCTGATAACTGGACCCAACGGTTGTGGCAAGTCAAGTTTATTCCGCATTTTAAGTGGCCTTTGGCCAATTTATGCCGGTGAGCTGCACATACCCAAACCGGTCGAGGAGAAACCCTGTATGTTCTATATTCCCCAACGTCCATATATGTCCATTGGTAGTCTCTGCGATCAAATTATCTATCCCGATAGCCGAGAAGATATGATGCGCAAGGGTGTTACGGAAGATGAACTGAGAAGTATTATGAAAATGGTGACCCTGGAACACATTGTCGATCGTGATGGTTTCGATGTGGTACGCGATTGGAAGGATATCCTATCGGGTGGTGAAAAACAACGTATGGCTGTGGCACGTCTATTCTATCACAAACCCAAATATGCCCTGCTCGATGAGTGTACCAGTGCCGTGTCCATTGATGTGGAGAGTAACATGTACGAGAGTGCCAAAAAGATGGGCATTACCCTGTTGACCATTACACATCGTCCCACATTGTGGAAATTCCATACACACATATTGGAATTTGACGGTTTGGGTGGTTGGTGTTTCCGTAAATTGGAACCAAATGAAACACAAAAGCAGTATAACTAAAGGAAGTAGATGCATCAGTTATTTTTGTTATTGTTATTATTATTTTAAATAATGGAATTGTAGTATTTGTACCCAAAGCGCTCCACACAGTATATTTATTGTTGTAGTTTATTATATATATGTGTATTATATGTATGTATTTTTTGATATTTAACCCTAGTGCGAAATAGTTCGTCGTTGGGCTAATCTTTAAGATTTATTGGCAAATGTTTCTTTTCGAAAAAAAAACTACTTATATTGATTGTTTTATTGATTTTTTCAAGATCAAGATTAGATTTACCATTGGCTTGAGTGTTTTATATATTGTGTGTATATGTATGTATTTATTAGACCTAATAGTGTGCAAATTTTTTTGCCCAAACCCCTAAACTATATATAGATAATTTTTTATTATTATACAATTTTTTTCTATGTAAATGTGTGAAATATACCGATCTATAAATCTATCTAATCTATAGCCGTCAACTAATCGCCATTATCAAGTTGGAGACAAACCACCACCACCCAACACGAGCTGCTGTTTGTATTAAAAACAACAGCCCATATTCCACAATATTGGCGATTATGTTTAATAGTAGATAGAATAAGAACAACAATAAGAAAAAAATTTAAATATATATTTTTTTTTTTAAATTGATAAGATTTGCTATAAAACTACTGTAACCAAAGAATTTTATTTTGTTTTTGTCGTTTATCTAACGAAAGAAATAATTTTGCTAAGCCAAGCAAAATACAAACGAAAAAAAATATTATTTTTTTTTAATTTTTTGAACTTTGAATTTATAATTATTATTATTTGCTTTTAAGGTTAAAATACAAACGATTTAATTTTTATTATTTTTAGCAGACACCACCCATATAAAATGATGTTAATAAACATGTTTTTTTTTATAATTAAATAAAATACATTTTTTGTTTTATTTTAAATTACATTTTTTATTTATACGAAACAATAACGCCCTAAGGTACAATGATCCTTTGATTGTTATTAATTAATGCAATAAGAATGACAAATGTCATATACAATGAAAAGATTTTTAATTAGGTATGGGGGTAATATTATAACGATTTAAGACAAAATTGACACACTCCTTTGCATACTTCAAAAATATTTGCCGAATTTCGGGTCATTTTGAAGGATGGGTAAGATGTTTTTGTACAACCGTTGCGTAAAATGCAACGAAATTTTAAATGGGAGTTATATCTAAATCTGAACCGATTCCAACAAAACGGAGTTGGATACGGATTTTAAAGTTACTCTATATTTATTTTATCAAATCTAAGGTTGACATTTTTTTATAGAATATTTTTGGATGTCTACCCGACATATAGGCGTGGATTTTTTAAATACAATTTAAAGATCTATACTATTTTTATAGATCTTTTCGAGCTATAAACTCGGATTTTAATATACTGTTTTTAGAGATCTATTCCACCTATAAACTCGGATTTTTTAAATACTGTTTTTAGAGATCCATTCGAGCTATAAACTCGGATTTTTAAATACAATTTTTGGAGATAGAGATACTATTTTAGAGATAAGAATAATTTTCAAGGACTATCTGAGCTATAAGCCTGCATTTTTTACACCCTTGGCTTTATGGCTAATGAGGGTACTTACTTACACAAATGTGCCTCGTCGAAATAATGGTTTTAGACCCCCTGATTCTTTGGACCAAATTCATTTCAGAAAATTTTGAGTCGATGTATAAATGTCCATCCGTCTGTCTGGTGCGCACGATAACTCTCGAAGGGAATAACCGATTTCATCCAAACTTTGTACTTCATAATATTTCTACCACACTTAGTTCAAGTACCAAGATGGGGAATATTAGTTTACTCCTTCTGGTACGACTCTGTTCCTTCATTACTGGTTTATTTCATTATAATTTTTTTTTACATTTTATAACAAATACAATTAAATCATATTTTTGATTTAATCAATTTATTTTTTGTATGATTTTTTATTTATTTCCCTCTTTGCCTTTTGTGTTTATAAAAAAATTTTATTAAACAAATTTTGTTATGACGTAGCTATTAGTGAGTTAGAATAAAAAAAAAAAAAAAAAAAAATAGCGTGTGAAATTATCTCATAGAAATAAGGCCCTAGTGAGAGCAGAGGAATCCATTCGAGATTAAATTAATCAAAAACATGAAATTTTAATATTTCTTCCCTCTAGTACTCTTGAACGCAAAACATTCCATTTTTTCTAGTAACAGTACAAAGGTTAATAGCGTTTGGAACATATATATATATATAGTGTGTGTATATGTATTATTCATTGCTATCAAAACTATGCAACAATTACCACATGAAACTACAAATAACAAATACGAAGCGAGAGAGAGGAAAATCTCTTTTCATCTAAGAAAACAAAACAATCAAAGATGACGACGAAGAAAACTCAAAATACTTTACATTAGAATAAATTGGACTTTTGTACTCTTCAACACAAATCGCGTAACCAATTCATCCAGTTTCTATTTCTTTTATTTATTTATTTTTTTTTTTTGTAATGTAAATACTTTATTATTATTTTTAATAATATTAACCTCAACTTATAATAGTAATAAAATAATTTAAATATATATATATATATATATATATATATATATATATATATATATATATATACATACATGCTAACAAAGCAGCAATAATACATTTTTAATGTCTTCCTGGTAAATATGAAATGGTAGCCGGTATTACACAGTAAAACCAGTCATTCTCTCCGAAATAAGTTAGTTAACGTCATTCATTGTCATAATGGTAACGACCTTTGACACAATTGTTGTACTGTCTGTTGAAAGTGATAGTAGTAAATTAAATTAATTTACAATAAACAATGTAGTATTATACGTATACTCCCATATAAAAGAACAAAAACTTGCGTATTCATATATGTTATTAACAGATTTGTGAGGGGTGGGGATTTCAATATAAGCTATTATTAAAAAAAAATTTTTATTATTGTTATTTGTAGCAAGAAAAAAATAAGGCGGATCAAAATATATTTTTTTAATTCGGTGAACCGTTTAATCCTATAATTAATTTAACATAAAAATCCTTTTATTAAATTAAACTGACAGCAGAGCAATAAGCGGGAGGAGTGTGTTTTTGTTTTCCAAAAAAAACCAACAGAGCAATTTTTAAATACAATTTTTTGAAGGACAATAAACAGAATTATAAACCTAGATTTTATTTATTAATACAGTTCAAAGATTCAAAAACCTTCATGGACCCATTTCCAAGCTATAACTTATTTATTTTTTATATTTGTTTAAGGCTTATTCTAATGTTCCAAAGAATATTTTATTATGCTCGAATGGTTCTAAAATATGCGTGGATATTTTAAGAAATAAATTTTTCAGGCACTATTCGAATTGCAATTGTAGATTTTTTTAAGAATACGACAGCCTACTGTTGGGGGAGGTTTACGGTATTACTATTCCTTTATATAGAGTAACTTCGGATAATGTGGACCACCATTTTTTTGTTGATATTGTGGGCGTAACAACGGTAAAAAATAAAAACAAATTGCTTTCACAACCTAGTAGATTTGTTGTATAAATATATTCCAGATCAAACATTATATATATTTCTCTATAAAAATGTTATTGCATTATATTTCAAAAACTCAAAACTGCGAATAAAAAGAACTTGGCGGGTAATGTGGACCAGTATGTGTGGGTAATGTTCATCAGTGAGTTAAAGGTAGGTTGTGATAAAATTCAGTTTATTGCACTCTTCGGTAACAATGAATGGAAAAATATATGGGTTCATGTTTTGGAATAGCCCCCCATTTAAGGTTAACGCCCCATTTACGGTATTTTGAAGGTCCTTGCTTCATTATCCAACCGAAGCAGCTGTAATTTCATATATCGAGTATTCAGATGATAGAATACCTCCTCGCATATTAAATGCAACCATGTTTCGATCTCGTCCTCATGAAAAGGAGATACTAGAAGGAGTGGGCCGACGGGTCCCATCATCGGATATGATAAAGGTTTGGTAAAATTATGGAACCCGTCGGCCCACTCCTTCTAGTATCTCGCCCAGTATGTGTCGAAATTTTAAAAAATTGTTAAGTTAATACGATGTCCGATTTGACCCAAACTTTACACATCCTAAAACCTTTACCAAACCTTGATCATGCCCAAGATATACCTTAGAGTAACTTCGGATAATGTGGACTATGCGTCAAAACTTTACACATCCTAAAACCTTTACCAAACCTTGATCATGCCCAAGATGTACCTTAGAGTAACTTCGGATAATGTGGACTATGCGTCAAAACTTTACACATCCTAATACCTTTGCCAAAAGTATTACAATTTGCAAAGTTTGATTCAAATCAGCTATGTGAAGTTTGCGTCAAATCGGACATTGTATTCGCTTGGTATTGATTTAAGAAAATTTTGACACTTGGGGAGATGTACAAATAAATTGGCTGTAATTTTGTATTTTGGATTCTCATTGTATAACACATTTCCGTACTAAAAATTATTAATATTGGCCCAAGTTTCAGGGCAGCCCCATATAATTTTACCACCCTAATATCCGGTATTTTGGGCATTTTGACAGGTTTTTATACCGAATTGGCTGTCTGATAGATAATCTGGCAACGCTATGCCTGAGTAGTCGTGGTTTTTAATCATCGCAGCTGATCGTTGAAAAAAAAAATACAATTTCTACTTCTACTTGCATACATGCAGTGAATATGTTGATTGCATTTTGATACTTTATTAAAATTTGTGAAGAATTGCGTGGAATATTATAGATCGACTCATTATATCTCGCCATAAAATTATCATCGAATCTGAAGTTATTGCATAATTGTTGCTTTTGATTTATTGTTTTGGATAACTGTTGCTGCATGCTAAATTGTTGTTTTGTTATTCTGTTGTTGCATGCTGATTGTTTTTTTCTGTGGCTGTGATTTATTGTACCAAAAATGCCGAGAGTACTAAAGTGTGGTATTTGTAGCGACTCAATTACC